AACTGTTGGGGGAAATGGGTTGGAAACCACTGCCTTAGTGCACCTTGTAAGAGGTGACCCTGATTTTGCTGGACCTCTCAGGGACATTTGATCTCACCAAGTAGATAGCATATTGTTCAGTAATTGGAAGATGTGTTCATATTTCACCAAGTGCTTTGGGCATGAATTCTTAAAATCACTGTAATCCAGGCATAGGCAAACTCGGCCCTCCATATGTTTTGGAACTACAACTCCCATCATCCCTAGCTAACAGGACCAGTGGTCAGGGATGATGGGAGTTGTAGTCCCAAAACGTCTGGAGGGCTGAGTTTGCCTATGCCTGCTGTAATCAATGATCTTGGAGCAGTATTTTCACTTAGGTTGCAATCCTATGCACACCTACTTGGGAATGTAGTGTATGAACTCAGCATCCAGGTAGGCATGCATGGGATCAGGGACATCACCTTTAAAATGAAAGCAAAATCATCCCCAGTGGGTTTCAGAAGCACAGCCTGCTTCTGAAATTTTAGAAGTCCTTCAGTGTAAATACTGCAAAGCATTGATAAGTCAGTTTATCAAAGCTGCCCTCAATGTTTTAATTGGATGTTCTGTCATATTCTCAACCCAAATCATGACCTTGTAGCCACCCTGCCATAACATGGTTATGGTTGAGTAGTGCAGCTGCTGTATTTCTGATTTAAACATAACCTCTCTTTTGAAGTGTGAAATTTGGCATGCTTTGACACTCTTGAATTCATTCCAGGCCCAGCTGGAAAGATGCCATTGACTATAACACAGGCAGAATCTGGCCCTAAACCAGAGGATATTTTTATTTTTATTTATTTCAGCCTCCCCATCCCATACTTCTATGAATTTAGATTAAGTATTGTCATGCAAATTTTCAAATGATTTCTTTTTAAAAAAATCAAAGATCTGAATATCAAATAAGGAATGGTAATATTTTAAGAACCACACTGAAATATTAACAACTAACTCAATAGGAATTCAAAATGATATTTGCTAATGTTTCCTGGTGTTGATAAGAAAGGGAAGTTATTTTGTTTGCATAAATCAAGTAAGTGGTAGACAATATATTAACAATTATGGGCACAATCAAACTGAATTTCCTTTGTTTGGATAAATAGGAACGCAGGGACATTACATTATGGGCATGATCCAAGTGAAATTAGACACTTTATTTTAGCTCAGTCAGTTTCAGAGAGAGGATTTTAAGCATACAATACTCTCAGTGCCCCAAGGAATCCAGCGCTAAACACTTGTTTTTTGCCCTCTCAATTAAAATGCATGAATAATCCACATGCTTATAGCTGTTCTAAGGAAATTGACAGAACTGAGGGATCATCCACACTTGTGCTTGCCCTGTTGTTTCCCCCTGGGGAAACCTGCTGTTTACTGCTGAATCGGAGCAAATGTCAGTTGAATTTTACTCCATGTTGATGCTTGCTCTGATTTAGCACTAAAGAGTAAGTTTTCTGGGGGAAGGCAGTGGGGCAAAGGTAAAACCGCTCTGACCCATGATTTCTAGGCACAGGGCAAGCACAAGTGTTGAAGAGCCGTGAGACATACTGAATTTTAGGATCACACTGTGTGAATATAATTTAAATGTTATGTTCAGTACATCTTCTGAGAGTTACCAGCTTGAGGGTCAGCACTGTGTAAAGTGTTGAGCCCTTGCAAAGTATTCCTCCTCCCTCTTTTCATCCGTGCTTGCTGACTGAGAGAATGTTTTGGGGGAGCGTCTCCTCCCCCATTGTTCTACCCGGACACTGAGGTCCGGCACCGAGGGCCTTCTGGCGGTTCCCTCACTGCGAGAAGCCAAGTTACAGGGAACCAGGCAGAGGGCCTTCTCGGTAGTGGCGCCCTCCCTGTGGAACGCCCTCCCACCAGATGTCAAAGAGAACAACAATTACCAGATTTTTAGAAGACATCTGAAGGCAGCCCTGTTTAGGGAAGCTTTTAATGTTTGATGTATTACAGTATTTTAATATTTTTTTGGAGGCCACCCAGAGTGGCTGGGGAAGCCCAGCCAAATGGGTGGGGTATAAATAAATTATTATTATTATTATTATTATTATTATTATTATGCCTCTTTTTATTAGGAGGAGATTGCAAGGACCTCTTCCCCCTTACAGCTTAAAATGACTGACAGAAATTTTGTGCCTCAGCTCTCTATTTTGTGCTCCCAATCATTCAATACCTCCTTCCCTCATTTAATTAACTTAAGGAACACAAGCTGGGTTAAAATGCTTTTGCTGGATGCTAAGCCAATGCGGTGCCACACCTGTTCAGGTGCATGAATAAGGTGAGAAGGAAAGGCTGCCACACACTAGCAGTGTACATGCATTGGATGAAGATTGTCCCAGGTTCAGGCTTAAGCATCTTCAGTTCAAAAAGGATCAGGTGATGGGAAAGGCTAGAAATCTGGGAGAGCTATTGCTGGTCATAGAAGACAGTACTGGATACAAGGCAACTCCTATGTTCCTTTGTGGGAAGGAAGCAATTATTAGAATACGTGTGAATAATGGTTCACAAGTGAAGTTGCTGAGAATACTTTGGATCATCTCTGTCTCCCAGGTAGTTCCCATTGGTGTTGGGAGGCGGTAGCAGCATGGATCCAGCCATTCTAAGGAATGACCTGGTAGTGCACGGGTGGGCAGCCTATGAACCTCCAGATGTTGGTGAACTACAATTCCCATCTGCCCCAGCCAGTATGGCAAGTGGTCTGGGATTATGAGAGTTGCAGTTCAGCAACGTGTAGGATCATAGGCTCCCCGCCCCCGAGGTGGTACCCTACAATTCAAAAACTGTTTACAATTTTCTGTATATATGATCTATTAAAGTGGAAGTACAATAATGTGATAGGAATGTATTACCACTCATGGTGAACTTGCTCAATTTCAAAATTGCATTGGCCCCATACTAGATTTAACCTTGCTTTCTTGGCTTTCACAGCCAGCAGAAGCAAACAGATGTTTTTCCTCTGGGAAAGTTCTTTTGTTTTGAGTAGCAGAAGCTCGTTTCCCATCCCGGAACTGGCTGCACTGTAGAATAAAAATGAAAACTGTATTTTTAACAATTCGGGGTCCTGCTACTTGAAATGTGTGCCTGCATACAGTGAGTGCTGCACAATGTGAATGGACATGCAAGGAACTGAGGAGAGGTTGTCGTTTAATGTGTAAAAGCTACTGAAAGTTAAGTTTTGAACTAAAGTATTGAGGCAAAGAATAGACCTCTGGCTGCAGACATCAAACAACAGAACTGTTTTGAAAGTTAGACAAACGTTCCTCTGGACTTTAAAAAACCACAAAAAAACAACCCCTTCCACATACTGAAAACTATTTTTACCCTCTTCCTGCAAGATATTAACAAAATAATTTCTGAGCATTTTTATTTTGGGGTGTGTGTTAAAATTGCTTTAAAGGAAGAACTGAATATTTAAGATACGTGTTAATGTGTGTGCATTGTGTGTTTTAATTCAATCTTAAGATCAGTTAGCCACATTTTAGCATCACTTTGTGATTTTTTTAAAGTCCCCACATAAATTCTTCAACGTTTTAGTGCATGCTTCTTTCTAATATATTCAGTTTTGTATGCCATTTTGCCCAATGCACACAGTTTACATGCAGTTTCCTCAAATACAGTGGTACCTCGGGTTACATACGCTTCAGGTTACATACGCTTCAGGTTACAGACTCCACTAACCCAGAAATAGTAGCTCGGGTTAAGAACTTTGCTTCAGGATGAGTACAGAAATCGTGTTCCGGCGGCCCGGCAGCAGCAGGAGGCCCCATTAGCTAAAGTGGTGCTTCAGGTTAAGAACAGTTTCAGGTTAAGAACGGACCTCCAGAACGAATTAAGTACTTAACCTGAGGTACCACCTCAGTGCATTTTGGTGTCCTATTTCAGTCCGTGCATTTTTGTACACTTTTTGATGGGTAACTGCACTAAAAAATTCAGAGACGTGTGCATTTCAAAGCATGTCTGAGTTCTTGTTTACATTTGGGAAGGACAGATGAGGTAGGTTCATGCGAATGGACCTGAATTTCTCCCACATACCTATGTGTGTATTATGACATCAGGTGATTACGTACAGAAACCTGGTCCGGCTTCTCATTCAAACCACTTCCTGGGGTTTTCTAGGTTGAGTCGGAGGCTACCACAAGGGTGCAGAGCTGCTTGCTTCTCTAAGATTTTATGCTTTAAATATTAGCCTTTTTAGAAAGTGTGTCTCTCCCCCCCCCCCCCACATCTTGATATTAACTTCCTTTTATCTGTTTGTTCTCGAGTAACCTAGTCTAAATAGGTTTGTTTAGTCTTGGTTGTCTTATATACAAAGGGTGTTTCCGATGGAGTAAGTGCATATATATTGGTGTATTTATTTTATGTTGTATTTCCTTGTGCACATCTGACAATCCAGCATCTCCCAAGAGACTTGGCTTTATGAGAAAATAGTGATATGCTCTAAGCGGATGTTGGTGATGAGTTTGAGTTTTCTCTTTGGCTGGAGGTTTTGGGGGCAGTAAGAGTTCTCATAGGCGCTCAGTCTCAGGTTTTCTGGGGGTTTGTGTTATCATTTTTTACCTGCGGACAGTGTGTGGCTTGTTAATTCTTGCCTTCTCTGAACTGCAAGTCATGAATTACAGCTGTAGATTTAGCCGACTGAGAGGAAGGAATTTGTCTGCTGTACAGTAAAAGGAAGTATTTGCTGTGTTATTGTAGCACATGGCCCCTTGCCATTTTTGATAAAGCATTTAAGCGTCATGCACCCAAAGTCTACTGCCCTCTTGACCCATCATCAATCATCAGCTGTACAGTGAGGTTACACGAAACAGTAGCCCAATAGGAGAGCCATTGTTTTAGCATTGCACAACTTTTCTGGAAACGGAAACTCCAGACAAAGCACCCTAGATCACTCAGTTTTGCACTGTGTTAACCTAATGCTGATCTATTGCATTACAGAGAGGCAAACAAGTTAGTAATTGGGTAATTTGTTCTGCTATGTAAATTGTGTATGGGAAGAGACCTTTGCTTGAATTTTTAAAACAACAACAATAAAAATAATAAAAAGAAGATACCAAGAAGTATTCTGTAGTTACCATACCAAATGAATATAAATTCAAGAAAATGAATGGGCCTTCAATAAATCGCCTATGCTATCATACAGAGTTTCTATTAAAAAGGCTTCTTTTTCCACAGTGCAGTCTTTGATTACAGTTGTATGAATTCTTGTTCTGGCTATTTATTGGAATTGTTGGTTTGATTATGTAAAATGCTGTCTTCTTGTTGCTTTTATACCCTATTCCTTCTTTATAAATAGATATTTTATTGTTGCAAACTTCCATGAGTTTAGTTCTTTTGTTTTAAAAACTTACACGTTTCTTTTTTTATAAAGAAAAGAATGGATATAATCTTCTATAAATCAGATTTGTTGCGTTCAGTGGGTCTTACTCCCAGTTATCTGCGTACAGGAGGAGAATTCTAGATATATTTTCAAATGCAAAATAAACAGAACTCCATTTCTTCATTTCTGATGCTTGAAAGAAATAGTTTACAAATAAGAGTAGATCCAGTAAAAGTTTCAGAGTTGTATCTAATGCTGAACAAGGGGACTCCCCCTTCTTCTCCCTGCACGTCCCTAAAATCTGCTTTGTGGAGTCCCCAGCTCCCTCAAGCAGATTTTGAAAGTGTCTTTGAAAGTTATGTTGTGGAGGCAGAAATCTGTTGTGTGAGTGGAACAGCAGTGTTTGATACAACCCTCAGTCTCAACTGCATGTTTCAGGAGACTACTTCATCGCAGATGCCTGTGGTATTCCTTCTAACATATCAAACATATTTTTTCAGCATATATAATAGCAAAGCAACTTAAGGCCAAACATATTTTCATGTGATATGGCTATCTCTTGTGTTTCAGGAACGACTGCCACTAAAGGTATGTCCCTGGTATTTCTGGAATGTGTGAGGGGTCTTTGACAAGGAGAGTGGCTCTTCAGTTGAATACTGTACCAGATTCTTAGAATTTAAAAATACATAAATCTGAAAGCTCATCTTGCTCATTCTGGAGCACTTAGAGAGCCAATTGAACTTTGTTAAGTGAGAAGTGTTGCTCAAAACAAAGGACTCTTGAGAAGTATTACAGTTGTGTGGACAGACTTTTTGCAGTATATTTACCCTACCAAAGTTTAAAATTGAAGTAGCTCATTGTGCAGAGCACATATTTATAAATGGGTTATAAATGGGTTCACTATCCCAGCCAGGGCTCCTTCTGTTGTACTTTTTTCCTCTGTGCTGTTGGGCTTAGGGCATATATGAATTGCATAACAATGAGTGGAGATACACATTATTGAATAGTTACAGTGGAGTGTTTAAAAGTCAAAGCACTCAGTGTGAGAATGCAGTGGACTGTGTGGGAGAATTGGAGGGAAAGTGTTGTGTGCCTCAAAATAGCGGAGATGTTACAGGACCCACCCACCTTGCCATGCCCTTTACACTGATACCCACCTAAGGTGTACAGCAAGGCTGGGGAAACTTTGGTTCTGTGAGGCAAATTTGACAGGTGGGCTGCCAAAGCAGACTGTGGCTTTACCAACCAATCAGCTGATGAACAGTAGAGCCGAAGCCTGCTTTAACTTGCTAATTCGCACTTTGAGGCATCTCCCGCTGCCCCACATCTGACATCCTATATGTTGTCAGATGTGGGGGCAGGTGGGCATGGTTTGGAGGAGACAGCCTCATGGACCACTTTTGAACCCTGGTGCCTCTACCTCTTTGCTGCAGGCGCCTTTGCAAGTCATCCTTCACCAAGCCATAGAATACGCATATGATATCAAGCCCCAACAGATCGATGCAACGTAAACTACAACTGTGCCACAATCCAAATGGAGGAAATAACCTGCATGCAGAGCAGATGCTTGAAGAAAGTGAACCAGGATGTTGACTACATGATCACCTGGTTCACATGTTAGAGTAAGGCCTAGTCTAAGCAAATGATGGTTTCCCATGAACAGGCAGCCTGCTGCTGCATTCTGCTCGTATTGCACCCACCCCACTCCTGCAGTTCCCAAGCCAGGAAGAAAGAAACGAGAATGCTAGCATAGCTCGCGGTTGCTTTCTTCCCAAACCAACCAGGAGGAGAGCCTGAGTGTTTGGTACAACAAGGTTTGTTTAGACTGCGGCTTACCATGACATGCAAAACGGGCCGTAGTGATGCCACGCTCAGAATCATATGGCCAAAGTATTAAGCATATCTGTGTGACGGCTCATCAGTTCAGCTGATTTCATGGAGGATAGGAGTGGGAGCAATGGGCATAATATAGCCACGTGTTCCAGAAATGTGTGTAAGCGAACAGTATATTTGTGTATGTGAGCTGGGCTCTAGCGTGCAAACTTAATTCTTTGAGTTGGATCCAGAACAAGGTGAGCATGAGCCTGCTCATACAGCCGGGCTTTTCCGTCTCCCCCTGCCCTGCACTACAGCTCCCCATACCCCACAGAGCCACTCTTGAGGTTAAGGGGCCCTCTGGAATGGTGTGTGAAGGGGCGCAGGGGGCTGCAATGGGATGGGATGGGGTGGGGTGGGACTAGGCCACTATTGCAGAAGTGGAAGTTCCTTTCCATACATGCACAAGTGAGTCATCTCTGGATCCAAGTTACTGAAAGGTATTGTGTTTGAGATGGCATTGAGTGATGTGAAGTGCCTTCCTCTAGCTTTGGGATAGTTTGATGGCGAATGACCGTCAAAACACCATAAGCTTGCGCATGTGAATGTATGATTTAAAAAGTACCATATAGATTCTGGTAGAGAATGCAGGATTCTTTTTTAACACTTTGATCATGAATGGTCTATGCCTTAATTGACAAAGGTGTCATTGATGTTTCTAAAATGCATTGTAATAAATAAGTTTTAACTCTGGTTAATTTTGCCATACTTTTTAATTTTCAGTGTTGCTTGTATTTATAAATCTTTTAACTGAGCACATTAAAAAAGGTAATTAAATTGTCATTCTAATTTATGCCATTCCTGAAGTCAATCACCTAATTAAACTGAAAGAGCAGAGAAGTAGTTTCATAAGTATTTATTAAATAGCGCAACATTAATTATGCAGAACGTTCAAATGAAGTAAAATAGGAAAGGAATGAAACTGCCATTACAAAAGGGCTTTCTGTCCCTGCCCTTCTTGGTTTAATAAGCTGAGCCCTCCTTCTTAATAACATGACTTAAAAATAAAAAAAATAAATAAAATTGTCCAGTAGCACCTTAGAGACCAACTAAGTTTGTTCTGGGTATAAGCTTTCATGTGCATGCACACTTCTTCAGATACCTAAAAATATGACTTAAAATATATATTACTGATACAATTAATGAAATGAAATTTGTGAGAAATTATTATGGTAGTGTGTTTGGCATGAAATGCAAAGTACATATAAAAAGACAAGAAGGAGCAAAAATTGTGGGAAAGTTACAGTCTAACAGCACTATATGCTCAGTTATTTGTGCCATTGACTTCAGTGGAACTTTCTTTATAATTTTAAAAACACTGTTAAGTGTGAGCTCATAAACTCTGGTGAAAGGGGAGTTCCCCACAACAGCATTAAAGTTAAATCAGGAGTAGGGCTTTGTCTTTCAATTCTGCTTGCTAGAAATTCATCAGAATGGAATTTCTTACTGGGATGATGTTTGATTAACAGTACCATCCTAACAGTGGATGGTGTTACGCTAAGTTTTACTCAGAATAAACCTGCTGAAATTAATGAACATGACTAAGTTAGGTCCATTAATTTTGATGGGACTACAGTGGTACCTCGGGTTACATATGCTTCAGGTTACAGATGCTTCAGGTTACAGACTCCGCTAACGCAGAAATAGTACCTCGGGTTAAGAAATTTGCTTCAGGATGAGAACAGAAATTGTGCTCTGGCGGCGCGGTGGCAGCGGGAGGCCCCATTAGCTAAAGTGGCGCTTCAGGTTAAGAACAGTGTCAGGTTAAGAACGGACCTCTGGAACGAATTAAGTATGTAACCAGAGGTACCACTGTACTGTGGAATACCACCCCATGTCTATTCAGAAGTTAGTCCCATTGAGTTTATTGAGGTTTACTCCCATAACCAATAGGTTTGTGTTAGGATTGCATCTTAATACAGCTGCCGTATAAAAATGTTAAGTTTTTTCCCCTGATTCCTATGGGTATAGAATTGGTCGCAGACCCCAACCCTCTGGCTAAACTTTGTGTGCATCATGATTTCTGTTCTGACCTTCTCTTTTCTGGAACTGTCTCCCAGTTGAGATGCCGTGAAGCAGGCTCTGCTCCTGGAAGCAGAGCAGCAACAAGACCAGTGGTGCTGTGTGGTCCTGAAAGGGCCTTTGGGGTCATGGCTGTTATGATGTATGGTTCTGCAGAGAACCATAATGTATGTCTCTGACTTAATCTTAGCTAATGGTTTCAAGAAGGAAGGACTTAAGGTTAACATTTTCTTCAACGATAACAATCATTCTGAAAGGCAATGCCTTCTGACTGTACAAGCTTTAGCAGGTTTTTGAATGTTGCCATTGTGTTGGCAGCACCATTGCATGATGCTATAAAACTGAAAGTTGAAATAACAAGGTGAGAATTGCTTCATGAACTGTAAGCCGGATGTGGCTGTTTATTCAAGTAAAACATGAAGCTTGAGACTCCAGTGTAATATCTCTTTGAAGGGCCTGCAGGAAAGCTGCTTTGTCTTCTACTTGGCCATCGCAGCTGCACAAATTTATTGGTATTGCTCATGATAAATGCATAAAGTGTATAACCACAGCAAAACGTTATTGTTACTCAAAGTCCCAGGGCATGATCTGAACACACATGAAGCAGCAACCTTGCTGAAGGTATGTGGGCCTGGGCTAATGATCAGTGTCTGGTGGGAGACCTCCTGGAAGAAAGGTGGGATTGAAGTGTGTGTGTGTGTGTGTGTGTGTGTGTGTGTGTGAAGCCCAATATTGTGAGTGACAAACGTTGCCCATGGAATGGAATTTGACATTTGCATTTTTCCTTTCCACATGGAATATATTTGTGTGCTTCCTTGTGCCAGTTTGTTGTGGACTTGGTTCTGTTCATGCATGAACTTTTTTTGCAACTTCCACACAACATTGTCCTCATCAAGACAACATTGCATAGTTTCCCCTATTAGATTTACCATTTACAGTAGCTTAATCAGTTATCCCGGTTTTGCAGAGACAGCCTGAGTTAAGGATTCACAATTAATGCAGCACCATGAAAGCAAGAGTCACTATTTCATATACAGTGTTTATTACTTATGATTCAATACACCCGTCCCACAGCAAATTGAAGCCGTTGCACATATGGTTAATTTGAAGCCCGCAGCCACTAAGTCATGTTGATTTCAGTTGAGCCCAAGTTTGGGACTGTGAAGCACTTTGCATAGTTAAACTGATATACACATTGCTGGTAATGAAATAATACACATTTCATGAAAGCCCTTTGAACTTTTGTTAATCATGCAGCAACTTCAATGTAGCAGCAGTAAAGGTAAAGGTAAAGGTACCCCTGCCCGTACGGTCCAGTCTTGACAGACTCTAGGGTTGTGCGCTCATCTCACTCTATAGGCCGGGAGCCAGCGCTGTCCGCAGACACTTCCGGGTCACGTGGCCAGCATGACGAAGCTGCTCTGGCGAGCCAGAGCCGCACACGGAAACGCCGTTTACCTTCCCGCTAGTAAGCGGTCCCTATTTATCTACTTGCACCCGGGGGTGCTTTCGAACTGCTAGGTTGGCAGGCGCTGGGACCGAGCAACGGGAGCGCACCCCGCCGCGGGGATTCGAACCGCCGACCATGTGATCGGCAAGTCCTAGGCGGTGAGGTTTTACCCACAGCGCCACCCGCGTCCCTGTAGCAGCAGTAGATATGTACAAATGCAGTTCCAAGCCATAAGTAAGGATTTTTTTTGTTAAAACAAGGAAGGACTGTAGGGGTGTGTGTGTGTGTGTGTGTGTGTGTGTGTGTGCGCGCGCGTGCACGTGCTAAAATTGTGTTTCCATCGAAACAGATGTTGGACATCCTGCTAATTTCACTGGAATCATGACTTCATGGCATATGTGCAGCTTATAGCCTTATTGCCAGCTGTTGAGCTCTATAATTATGGTAATTTTGTTCTTTCTCCCTGACATCTTCACACTCTTGCGCACATAAAATTTCTGTTACATTCAGAGATGCTCCAAAGCAATGTGATGTGTAAGGAAGGCGACTTCCCCTTTTACTCAGAATAGCATGGGGAAAAGATGAGTAAAGCCTATCAGACTAGTGGAAGTTCAGAGATGACATAAAGCAAGTTGGGTTATATAATGCATTTTAATGGTCAATAAGCCTTTCGGCTAAGCTATATTTTGGCAGCTTAACGCCTGTCTGTTTGTGTCATACTCTGCAGTTATCTCTTTCACAAATAAATTGTTCATGCCATGGTACCGCTAAGCATGTTTTCAGCTTCTTGAGCTAGCATCACACAGATACTCTCTTTTCACATTGATTATTCAGGCATATACACTAGTTTTGGGGTAGTAAATATAGATAAAGTCTCACTTATTTTTATGGACTTTGAAAACAAGCTGCTTATGCATTTAGTCACAGGAAATTCCTATTAATAAGTGAGTTGAACACTTAGATTTCCTCTGTTTCATCCTTCAAACCAAGAAAGTTGTTATCTATCTCTCATATTTGTACCTCTTAGCTATTTTAACTTCATGTAGAGAGATCTTTTCAGGTTGTTCTTAGAGAAGGGTAGATGTAAAAAGTGCCATGTAATATAATTAATTACTTTTCATAGGATGAAGGTAAAGGAAAGGCCAAATGCAAGTCCACCCCTCTCATTTTGACTCCAAATATTGGGGTTCTGTAGAACTTCAAAACTACATAGCTGTTTCCCATGAAGAACTAGAATGCAGCTATTGACTTTTGCATTTATAAATACTTAAAAGTCAATTTTCTAAAATCATTCCTACTGTCGTTGGTAAATATTTTCCAATGACATGATCCCCAATCAGCACCATATTCTTTGTTTTTAAGAAGGCCATATACTACAATTTCCAATTTCACCTTTTAAAAGTGTTTCTCTTTAAAGGACATGGCATAAATGACCTTGAGAAAATGTTCACCTGTAAGATGGGAAAAGACTCTCCCTCACATTGCAAAAATAGCTGGTGTAAGGTTCAGACACATTTTCTTTGTGTGGAAATTATTGATGCCCTTTTGTGATACCAAATCAAAGTGTTAGAACTTGCCACATGCCCCAATTAAAATGTGTGGCATTCCAAATTATAGTTAATGAGAAGAGATCATGGATTTCCCTGAGCTGTTGACATATGGCAGGACATAGTGCTAGCCCAAGACACTTTGCCTCATGAGGTGCAGCATGAAACGAGACCTACCCCCCACCCCCGTCAAAGTGCATAGTACTCAGGGATGGCAAGCAATTTAATCCAGTAATCATTTAAAAGTGAACTGTGTCCTAGCTGATGAGTACCAAAGGCAGTCATTTTAACAGTTGCACCTCTCTCCCTACCCAGTGGTAAAAATACACAATGAATTAAGTACTTAACAATTTGCTACCTTCATTACACCTGAAATCATCTGCCTGAGGTGCCTGTCTCATTCTCCCTAGTGTTAGGATTGGCCCAGCTGAGGAGGGAAATCTTAAATGTAAAAAGCACAACATTCCAATACAGTGGTACCTCAGGTTACAAAGGCTTCGGGTTACAAACACTTTGGGCTGCAAATTCTGCTAACCCAGAAGTAGTACCTCGGGTTGAGAACTTTGCCCCAGGATGAGAACAGAAATTGCGGGGCGGCGGTGGGAGGCCCCATTAGTGAAAGAGCGCCTCAGGTTAAGAACGGTTTCAGGTTAAGAACGGACTTAAGTTCGTAACCTGAGGTACCACTGTACGGTGGTACCTCGGGTTACAAACATTCTTGGGTTACAAACACTTCGGGTTACAAACTCTGCTAACCCGGAAGTAGTACCTCGGGTTAAGAACTTTACCTCAGGATGAGAACAGTGTACACACTGCTGCCCCACAGAACTTGCAGTTTGACAGATGGGGAGACAATCAGAGGAAGAGGAAGGTATGATGACAGAAGCAGAGCTAACAGGAGAATTGTTTTCAAATGCAGCAATTCTTGCTCTGAGTAGGGAACGTGGACATTAGCTGAGGCTTTGGCATATCAAGTCAACCAATACTAATGAATGTTATTGTGTGCAATAACATACATAGGTGAGAAATCCTTCCAAAGCCTTCAGTAAAAAATTAGTGTAAATGGGATTAGGTGTTCATACAATATTTACTAGTTCTTGGAGAAAGTTGGCATTTTGTGGCACGTAGGAAGCATTGTCAATGTCTTTGGCCAGTGCCTTTCCAAGATCTAAACAGAAGATCTAATCCTCCACTTGAAGTAATCTCTGGGTGACAGATTGATGTTGTGTAGGCTATGCAGACTGTGTTAATTATAATTGTGCCACTCCCATCAGTTGTTTCTTTCCAGGTTTTTTGTTTTCTTCCAAGCCTCCTGCTGTTTAATCTAACATGCACCCATGGCCTTACTTGGCAACCAAAGGATCCTCTCCTCAGAGCCACCCCACCCCCTGAAATCAGGATTAACAGAAGCATTATATTCCAGCCAATATAATAGGTTGTGTGCTAGGTGCTTGGATGCAGTGCAAATATGTGGCAGCCACAAAAGTTGGTCTGGTTGGCATAGGTTTGCAACCCCTGATTATATGCCTGTATGCACATGCCTTTCCATTAAAAAAATTCTGCCAAAAGATTCGCTTTAAATGACAGCCAGTTAAAAACATAATGAAATAAAATAGATCAAAACATAGGAGCACCAGCAAACACTAGTTCTTGTATCTGTTTAACTAAAAAGTTATACCTATTGGTGGAAGATGTAAGAGCTTAAGAAGAGCCCTGCTGGATCAGAACAAACACCCATCTGGTCTAACTTAGCATCCTGTTCTCATAATGGCCAGCCAGATGTTTCTGGGAAGCCCACAAACAGGACATGAGTGCAGCAGCACCCTCCCCACTTGTGATTCTGAGCAATTGGTATTCAGAGACATAGTGCGCTTGACCCAAAACCTCCCTTAGTGCAGAGTTCCAATGTCTGGGCACAACCAATGAAAAGAATCTTTGGAGTTCTTGCCAGATGCACATTCTGTGCTGCAGGACAGAGAGAAGGGTGACTCTTTGAAGTGGTCCTCCATTCAGCATCTTCAGAAATTCCTTCTAAAGATGGAAGAAGTGGGGGGAAAATAGATATATAATAGGGGTGTACACCAGCCACAAGATCCAACTTGTATCTGTAGTTTTGGGGAATCAGCCAGCTCTGAGCCATTCTGTGTCTTTTCGTGTCAACTTGTTATCTGGGACCACATTAGATTTGTTAAAAACGAATCAGTACTGTTTTCTTCCTATTCATTATAATGTGAAACCTACAACAGCTATAACTCCCCCCGCCCCTTTTTCACAGAAGTAGATGGAATTTACAGATGCCACAGTCCCTCAATAGTGCATTAAGCCTGCCTAATCATAGTCACATTTATCCAGTGAATTTTCTGCAGGGTACCTTTCCAGTTTGTTTGGGTTTTTTTTAAAATGGATTTAAAAAATAAATAAAAAATTCCAGAATTTGGATTGGGTAGTTTGGAGGTGGGATACACCTTCTGAGGAAATGAAGCTTGCCCATTTTCAAAATAAAATTTACAATGGTTTCTCCACAAGGGCAAATGTTGCTCTTCTTTCATGAGAAGACTAGATAACCATGGAGCTGAGGAGAGCACAATTCCCAGGAAGATTTGGGGATCTGGTTGCTCCAAGGGTCCTTAGTTGTGGGGTAGGCTTCTGCGCACGCACCCCCCCCCCCCGATTTTCTCCATTGACTTGTATTGGAGAAGGGAGTGATGTAAAATTAATATAAATTTTCAGGAATGGCTGGGGAAGGGAAAACGTCACCCTCCCAGTTCAGACTCTGTTACCCCCAAAGGTTATTGGTAGGAACTGGCATCTGCCCTGATGGGTTTTGGGGGATACAGTCGTGGTCTTTCCATTGGGTTTTATAGGGAAACACATAGATTCATGTGAAAAGATACAGCTCGAATCAATGTGAATGGAGTGATTTCAGAAAATAATTCAATAATTCACTGTGATTTAAAGCTAGACCTGTCTGTTAAAAAGGAAAGCTCTCCTCCCCTTCCCCTCTCAAGATGTGGGTGTTTCCCAAGTCAGATTGGCTTCATTTCTCTGCAGACACAGAAGAAACTGTTGTGGGTTTTTTGGACAACCAAGGCCACAGAGCTGGGTGAAAGGTTAGGGAGTCCCTAATCCACCTCAAGACACTTTTGTAACTGCACAGTCCAATTCAGAAACATTTCTCAAATCACCCTAATTTGCTTCGTAGTTTGGAGTAAACACAGTGCAGGCACACACCCTCCTATATGCTATAGAGTGGCTGGGTACATTCCTCTTTCTGTAGGGTTCAAAAGAGGTTGGATAATTGACTCATAAAGCAAATAACCTTATCTTGGCACAGTCAAGTTCTTCCTTCCTGTAGGGGGTGGGGTGGGGTTAGGGCTTCCTCCATCAAATGAATATTGGTTTGTTAATCTATATTTGTCATCTTCCCAGAGTTCTGTATTAATTAAACATAATTATCTGTAACATACCAATCCCTAAACAATAGCTCATAACTTTGTACTTTTTGATTCTTCACTAGTTAGTAGTTGGCAAGCTTTGTGTTTAATTGCTAGATAAGCACATCTCAGTTACTTAATATATAAATGTAATGTTTTATTTAAGAGATAAATACACTACACACACACACACACACACACACACACACTAACGAGCCTTTTCTGCTGTGAGCTTTTTACTTTCTTTTCCCTGATAAATTAAGGTGTAACAGACACGGATTGACATAGCTTCAGCGACATATTGAGGGTAGCAGTGTGGTAGGTCCTTCTTACTGTGCTCTGTTTCAGTTATGAACCCATTCCAGCTATCTGAAGCTACATTCTCAGGACTTGAGTCTGCATAGGTGTCCCTCATAATAGCCCTGCATTCCATACAGTTCTGTAGGATTAAAGTCAGTCTGAAATAGTTGCCTCTAGTCCAAGCTTTGCCTTCCTTTGTCCACATCTCATCTGATTTCCGCCACGCCCCTTAGATACTCATCTTTGGTGTGGTGTGTCAATTTAGGCTGCAGCAGCACCTTTGATTATTTCAAACAACAATAGTCCAGAGCTTTTGCAGCAGACTAATTATAAAATCATATTGGTAGAACGCAGCCAGTGACGATGTGCAGGAGTCAGAGTTGTTTTCTTATGAAGTAGTTCATATGAAAGGGCTGTGTTGTAATCAATTTACACAGAAAATAAATCTGGTCTCTCCCAAATCAAGAAGGGAAATCAATTGCTTAGTCAAGGGCTTCTCAAGAAAGGATGACTTTACACTATTAAGTACTCAGGAGCAGCATGTAGAGGGGTCATCATGTCAGTTGCTCATCTCATGTTGTCCCTGTGGTGCTCTCTAATTCAATTCATTTTGACCTATCATTAAATTTACCTTTCCCTCTAAAGTTGTGTAGGCAGTTTTGTTTTCTGCATGCGTTTTTTTGTTTGTGCTTCCATCACATGGTTTCATGGGTAGCTAATAATACCTCAGAAGATAGAAACAGGATTCAATATAACCTTAAAGGTTTGGAGAAGTGAGCTAAAACTAACAAACTGAATTTACTGATTGGTATGTATGTCTCTTTGTCATGGCACGTTCCAATTTGAAACCTTCAGTTGATAAATATCCTGCTTAGGCTGATGAACATATGAGGTTTGAATATTAAGATATACATTGTTGAGTCATCCCATGGGCCAAGAACCAAATGATTTTGTTCAGCTTTGAAAATGTCACTTTTAAACCATGTTTCTTCACAGTGCTGTTTATGTGCTGGAGATAAAAGAAAAACAAGATGAAAAGGATATAAAAAGAAATAGAATCCATCCATGCTCAACCTTAAAAAATTGATAGTAATAGGACTTGTAAAAATGTTACTGGTTTCTAATCCATGAAGACAGAGTCTTTGTTTAGAATAACGCTAGACCATGGTTTAGTTCTACCTGGATAAGACTAGCCTTCTCCTGAATCAGCACGCTCCTCCCCTCTTCTCCCCTGACACAGCCAAGAGGATCTGGAGTTTGCACTTTTAGTTACAACAGTTCACCGCTTTTTCTGAACCACAAATTGTGCATAATGCTATTGCTGTGCTGAATGCTGTACCTACTTTTGCAAAAGTCTTTGCTTCCTGTGAAAAAAAATTTCTGCCATTTTTGCAGTGTGCAGAAGAATTTTAGAGAATATTCAGCGGGGTGGGTTCTTTGCATTTATCCTACTGAATGTATGAGGTGGCAGAGTGGTCTTCTAATCCCTATGGGTTTTTTGTTTGCCCACTGCAGCACAGAGCTTTCCCTTCAAAAGCTTACAACCTGGCAGCTACAGTGGTACCTCAGGTTAAGAACTTAATTCGTTCTGGAGGTCTGTTCTTAACCTGAAACTGTTCTTAACTTGAAGCACCACTTTAGCTAATGGGGCCTCCTGCTGCTGCCGCGCCACCGGAGCACGATTTCTGTTCTCATCCTGAAGCAAAGTTCCTAACCTGAAGCACTATTTCTGGGTTAGCGGAGTCTGTAACCTGAGCGTATGTAACTTTGTTTCAGACTAGCTTTTTGCATTGCTCTGTTTATAGTAAATTGATGGTAAATCCAGCAGTGCCATGTATGGTGGGGTGGAGATGCCCTCCCAATGCCAGTATTTCTGCTTCTAACTTGGAAAGAACTGGGTGTCGGTGAGGTTTCTAGGTGCACAGGCAATGTACCTGAACAGTCCCAACCTCGCTCCCTACCTGCCTCACCCCAACCCCATGCAGGCAAGCAGCAGTGATGATTGTGTTGAAGGGGTGGTTTGGCAGCTCTTAAAACCGTGCGCCACCACGAAAATGTTTCTGGCCCAAAAGCCCAAGACTGAAGCCACAAGGTATATTTCTTTTCTTTAGAAAAGACCTCCTGCATTTCAAGGAAGTGCTTTTTCTCAAGAGAAATTTCATTCCACATAGAGGAGAATTTAGCTGCATTCTTCTTCTATTTGCCTTTTCATATCTGAATGGATAACAACAACAACAACAACAACAACATTTTAAAAATTTATATCACAACAACAACAACATTTTTAAAATTTATATCCCACCCATCTGCTGGGTTTCCCCAGCTACTCTGAGCGGCTTACAACATATATAAAAACACAACAAAACATCAAAAATTAAAAAACAAAATATCCTATACAAGCAACGAATAAATTAATAGAAACCAACAACAACAACAAACAGCTTGCAGTTATACCCAAATTAAATAACCGTCAAACCCAAATAAACTTTTAACCAACACCAACCCAACAAAACCAAAACAGAGGAACCAAAATTAGAACTGTAAAACATTTTAGCCAGTTGCCCCAACCCTAGAGTTGTTCCAGCAATGTCCCTCTGGCCTCCCAGGAACCTTTTAGCTGTTCAAGGTGAGTCTGGGCCCTACCCTTCAGGCCAGGTGGAAATGGGGCTTGCAGCAGGGAGCTGGTCTTTCTTCCAGCACTCACAGCAGCAGCAATCACTGGGTTATTGGGCGAAAAGAAAGCTACTCCCCTGCCCTGCTTGCTCCAACCTTGCATAAATACCCATCATACTGATATACTTTAAAATAGGATCATTTAAAACTTTTAAATTTTACCTGAAACTCCCTTCCACCCTCAGTGTTAGCCACTAAAGTTTTAAGAGTCACACGTTATAGTTGATTGCTTAGCCAAGATGTTGTAATTCAAGCACTGGGACTTCCAATATTCAGAAGTTCCATGTTTTGGCAATCCCAACTTGGATAGAAACCAAAAGTCTGAAGTCATTCCCTCCTCCAGGGTGACATGTATGGACAAAGACCCACACATGACAAGTTTAAATTGGTGAGTAGAATGAGCATAAACTAAAAGGATAATTAATCAAGACATGCCACAATGTCCTATTATCCATAGCCAAGTAACTTTTTGGCGCTTGGACCAATGACATTCTTTGTAAAACACAGCCTAGCCATGTTGTCCAGAATCCAAAGAACTCCTAAATCATACCATGTGGGAATTATTTACTCCTCCCCTTAGAACAGCCAATTTAAAAGCCATATCAGAAACCCATTTTAAAAGTTCCCTAGTTATAGGCTTGAAGCATATAAGCCCAAAGTGCCTTTAAGCATGAAGAACTGGTTTCATTGTGCTTTGGTTTTTAGCTGTTGCTGAGATTTTAGCTTCATATTGTTGCTTATAACAACAAAAAGATAATATTTTATAATATTGTTCACCCCTTACTTTTACTTGTTGCATTATTACTTTTAATGATGTGTGTAGCTAAAAATATGCTGCTAGACACTTTTGTATTCATTGTTGAAGGAAATAGTTTATAGTAAACTGAAGATTTTAAATAAAAATTTATGATTTTATTAGAAATTATATTTGAATGTGTGTGTGTGTGTTCACATGCACAACACATATTAACACTTTGTGCTTCACCCTGTATACCTTAAATTAATGCTGTACACCTCAGTCTTAAACTCTGCCCCCAATCAACAGAGGTGTACTCATGAACAAGTAATAGACAGCAGCTCACTGCTAAACTACAAGTTGCTTTTTTAAACTCAAAGGAATGTAAAAGCAGCTGGTGTGCTTCTGACTTGACAAGCAAAAATGCACATATGACAACATGGCAGGCACATATTGTTGGATTGTATCCACAGTGCAGAAGAGATTTATGACTTCCATAGGAGAGAGTGGCTTGGACTTAAAGCTGTTTTGTCTGATGAGTTGCAATAGGGAATAACCTCATAAATTATAGGTGGCCTCTGCATCCAAACAGCTAGGGACCAGTGATGATATTTGGTAATATGATGGAATAAAGGCACCGCTATTGAAGAATGCAGAGCTATGGAGGCATTTGCCTTAATGTCACCTCTTTTGTTAAATGAAAATAAAACTGAAATGTGAATGATACAGTGGTACCTCAGGTTACATACGCTTCAGGTTACAGACGCTTCAGGTTACAGACTTCGCTAACCCAGAGATAGTACCTCGGGTTAAGAACTTTGCTTCAGGATGAGAACAGAAATCGTGTGATGGCGGCGCGGCAGCAGCGGGAGGCCCCATTTGCTAAAGTGGTACCTCAGGTTAAGAACAGTTTCAGGTTAAGAACGGACCTCCAGAACGAATTAAGTTCTTAACCCGAGGTACCACTGTGCAGCACACCATTCCTATTTTATAAACATTTTTCTGACAATATTGTGAGTCTGTCCTATCTTTGTCTGCTGGACTGTCTCATATAATGCAAAGCTATTATCCACATCTTTGGTTTTCATTTCAGGACTACAAGTACAGAGAAAGATAAAAATGGCAGGTGAAAAATTGCCAAAAGGCAGTGAGTGGCTGGGTTCCATGATAATTACATCTGAGATGTGAAAATAGGGATAAATGTTTCAATACCACTTTGCAAAATTCTTTGAGGGTTTTTTTCAGGTTTGTGTGGTGGGCCACTTTTGGCAGAAGTACAAAGATAAAGAGATTTGAAAAGTCCGACATTAGAGGCCGGGAAAGGTTTGAGGGTGGGGGGAGGGGAGTTTTCAGGAGCAGCCTGTAACAGATGATTGATAGTGCCTTGTGAATCACAGAGGGAACTCTGTAGATTCAGACTTCAGGGACCACCATGGAAACGCTTGCTTCCGGGTCACTTTCCTGCAACACTAAAAGGATTGCCGCAATTACCTAAGTGGGTGAACAGCTCTGTGGATGGGGAAGCAGACTTTCAGGTAACCTGTTCGCAATATAAACCTGGGGGTTTTTAAGTCAATCAGAAAACCCAGAATGTGACCTGGTAGCTAATCTTTATACATGGCTCCTTTGGGAGAAAGGGGAGAATATAAACTTAATAAACAACAACAATGATAATAGTGCATCTTTATGCAAAGAGAGTAGTGAAGGCTGCTTCTAGATTTTTATGTATTTGTTCATGACTCGCATACTGTTGTTTCTCACATTCAGCCATGATGTGCAGAAGCCCATTCCATCTCTTTAGATTTTTTTGTTTGGAAAGAAAGCCTTTTGTTAAACATTTGGTCTTAACCCACAAATTTAAAGTTGTTTCTGCTTACTCCCACCCCCATCCATTCCATCAGCTACATAAAATTTCCAAAAAAATTATGGTCATCCTTCCTCCACCTAGCTGGGCTTAAATGGCCAGGTGTGGCAGGCATGCCTATTCACCCTTCTGCGAAAATACAGGTCACAGGGTTCGTTTCCCATCTGTTAATGAAACCTCAGTGCAGTAATGTGTCTGTACACAGGAGCCTTGTCTGATGGATTTGGCACCAAGTGTGTTTTGATTGTGCCCAGGCTGAATTCTGCACATAAGACGGCTTTTAGAAGTTTGATACAAACATATTTTAGCTGCATAGGGAACAAAGGGTAGGCAGTGATATGCAAAGATAGAAAGTCTCTATTTTATTTTCAGATAACAATTTCTGTGCCTAGCAACGCAAACATCCGGGGGGTAGGGAGAGAAGGCCAGCTTGGAGGAATTTGCAGGTTTCCCATGGTGACAGATTTCTCTTGTTCCTGGGCATCTCTCTTTCTGGCTGGTGCTCTCCATCCCTGGCTAATCGCCAGCTTCTCAGGGCAGGTTAGCATTTGTTCCGACTGTGGAGATCTAGTGCTTCTGCCAGCTATTTTGCAGTGGGCTCAGGCTCCCACAGAGTGCCTTTCCTGGGAGATACTTTTTGCCATTCTAAGTGGTTGTTAGGAACATCTAAGGCACCTGGTGCTCCACAGCTTTTCCTGTTGACAGCTCCAAAGGCCTCTCTATATTTATTTCCAATTTTGTCTCTCAGTTGTATGGCACATTTCTAGCTTCCCTGTCGTCAGAAGGCAAGCTGGAAGGTTTTCGGTGGCAAGTTCTTGCAGTGCTTTGAATTTGCAAAGTACTTAATGGTCTTTATTGTGCTCACCTTTCATTGTTTTTTACCCTTCAACAGCCCTGGTAGGTTGTTATTCCTGTTCAGCAGTGTGGAAAAATGAGTTTGAGCCTGAGGTCACTGTGGCAGAGATGGCATGTTAACCCACATCTGTGGCATCAAAGTGTTTTATCTTTTACTTGTCATAGTGACTCCTATCGTGTCATAGTGGCAGAAAGAACTGCAGGGTTGAGATGGCAACTGCTCCTTACTCCAGCCCAGATCTTGTGGCAGCTGCTGCTGTGTGTTGTTCTTCTTTCTCCTCCTGCAACTTACAGAAATACTTTGCCCATCCTATGATGTCACCATATTACATGTTTTTCCTGTTCCACATACGATGATACAGGATTGTTTATTGGCGTTTTGAGTTGCATGGGGAACATTGTCTGGGGCCAGACATTATTCATTGATTTGCTTTAGCATTTTATATTCACTTTAATGATTGTTTTATGTATGTTTTCAATTTACAGTGTTCCTGAATACTTTTTTTTGTATCCAAACAGAAAGAGCAATTTGCATGAAGGGGGGAAATCATTATTTGGGGGCTACCAGTTTGAGGCTTTGCCTCTGCCCCTATGTGTTTTGCTCTTTGGTGTTGCTCCTCCTTCCTTTCTACATGTGGATACAGCACCAGCCATCCTGCTGTTTTTGCACATCAAGCCTGGCTAGCTAGGGCATGAATCCCAGCTGGTGGTGTCTAAATTGCTATTTGCGCTGAAGTTTGTGGTTAGGAGGATGTGCACTTTCTAATTTAGCCCCTGGCTAGAATAAAAGAACTGGCTTTATGAAGAGCAGCATAAAAATGGTGCTCTGGACAGACAGAAAAATGATTTTATTTATAGGGAGTTTGTAGGAGATTTGCATTTAATGCAGTTCGAACCAGCTGTTTAGAAGTTTGTTTTCAATGAGCTATTTTATTTCAAAACAAATACGTCAATAAAAGATTATGGATGAACGTACAGGCAATTGAATGTAAGCAGCATCTTCTGTACTGAGCCCTGTGATTAGCAAGGATCTCACAGTATGATGCCAGGAGAGGCTGCAGAAGCAAAGCAGTAAACAGGATGGAGTGGATGGTTCAAAGCATTAGCCCCAGGGACACTTTGGTGGTTGAAACTGGCCCCAGCACCACCATTGGTGCTGCTTTGCTGGTGCTTTACCCTTATCCTTACAGTAGCAACTGGCCGCTGTTTGCATTGCTGAACCCTACAGTGTAGTGCTATGATTGTGCTGCCTGTTGATATAAATAAAATCCAGAATAGTAAAGGTAGTACCTTGGGTTAAACGAACTTGTTTAGTGAAAAGAGTGTGTTCCTGTTTTGAGCTGTAATGGATTTTCTGACATAGAATGGAAAGCAGTATGACTGATTTGTTATTTTCTGCAGACGGATGGGTTACTTTATAAATGGCAATGCAAATTCTTTGTGGAAGTAGCACAGGGGTGGGAACCTTGTTTCAGGCCAAAAGCTGCATTTCTTCCCGAACAGTCTTCCCAGGGCTGCATGCTAGTGGTAGGCAGGGCCAGAGGCAAAAAGTAGGTGGAGCAAGGAAGGTGTCTATGTTTCAGCAAAAATCATGGTTTCTAAACATACACCTTTCTCCATCCAGGCAACCAAGAGGCATTTCAAAGTTCAAGAACACATTCTAGCTAGACAAAAGCACTTGAGGAGTATTGGTGGGTGTGGCATAGGAAGCAAGAATGTGTCCTGAAAAGGAGACATGGCCAGGGGAGTGGTCCAAGGGCCGGGTGGTGAGGTCTGAAGGACCACATCCAGCCTCCAGGCCCTGAGGTTCTCCACCTGTGAAATAGACAGTGTCCAGTCATATAATATACCATGCCAATCAGTTTTGTAAACATGGTTTAACAGGAATCACCTGGTCTTCTACAATGACCAGTTTCTCCTGAGAAGGCATATTCAGAAGCATTACATCTAGTTCTTTCTTTACTGCATTTGCTGGCATTCCTGGGTCACATCCCTGCTATTTGCAGGTAGCTGAAGGAACCAGCACACAAAAGAGGTGTATCTCTAGAATCGCATGTTACAGTTGACGCAGGGATGCCATTTTAAATGGTATCCCTGTGTTGAGTTCTCTCTCTCTCTCTCTCTCTGTTAAAATGTAAGAATACTTAGTTGTGACATGATATCAGTGTTACACATTTTCCCTTTCCACATCAGTGGCTGCCATTGGTGAGGGCAGGGCAATGTACAGTACAACAACTACCAGGCTTTTAGAAGACATCTGAAGGCAGCCCTGTTTCGGGAAGCTTTTAATGTTTGATGTATTATAGTATTTTAATATTCTTTTGGAAGCCGCCCAGAGTGGCCGGGGAAGCCCAGCCAGATGGGCGGGGTATAAATAATAAATTATTATTATTATTATTATTATTGCACAGATCAGTACTTACTATATGTTATGAGAGAGGAAGAGAACAATGGCATGGTGGTGCCATTTTAAAAAAAAATTTTTTTAAGCATCTCTGTGGCCCTCCTAATTAGTATTTCCATGGCTGGTAAAGTGATAAACTTCCCATTATGTTATTGTTATTATTATTTTAATATATTTCTCACCCTTCATCAGATCCCAGGGTGGGTTGCAACAATTAAACACTCAATATGAAAAACAGTTAAAGCAAATTAGTCACGGAAATAGAGTGAAACATATCTCTCAAGTGTCATGATATAGTGGAAACTATAAAATGACGACGTCAGGCGCACCTTGTGGGTAGTGAATTCCACAACCTTGAAGAATTCCCAGACCACCCACCCAACCACACCAAGCATCTGAGGGCCCCCTCTGCTGATCTTGGCATCTGAGAAGTCTTGTAGGGAAGCAAGCAGTCTTCTAGGTATTTGGGACCTACTTTTTTAGGGCTTTAAACACTAATGTGAGCGTCTTGAGTTAGGCCTGGGAACAAACTGTCTTGACAATTCAGCTGCTTTAAAACAGTGGCTGTTTGAGTTCTAAAAGTGAGCCCAAGTCAGTAATCTGGCTGCTTCATTATGGTCCATCTGAAGTGTTGTTGTTGTTTTTAAGGAGGGGTGTTAGGGAGAGAAATAACTTCCCATTGTATAAAACGAAAGCTGACACATTATGCACTGTGACACCACTTTTGAGTGTTCCCAGCATGTGATTTTTACGATGCCCTGGTCATATTCCGACCCTTAGTTTGCAGGACTGAAACTCATTTCTTAAAAGCAATTGATTGATGAGAATGCTCAGATATCTACTCATCTAGGTAATGACACAGCAGGGGGTGGGTACCCTCACAGGTGAGGCCCAAGAGCTTGAACTGAGGCAGAAAGTGACTGAGGGTATCTTTGTGGGATTCCACCTTGGCCTGCCTCCACTAATGCTAACCTGCACCTTCTTTTCTCTCCCACAAATCCCCATGAGACTCCCCTCTCTCGAGCCATGGAATATTTTGCTTCTCTGTCACCATGGTAATGTTTCCACCTCTGTGTTCAGGGCTATTCCCTCAGGCCCTGGCTTCCCACAGGAGGGTAACCCAAAGGATATGTAGTACACTTAAGTGCCACTAAAATCAATGAGACCCCAATTGTTTGGATTTATGTTTATACAGGCTTTCTGTGGTTCACACCCACAACTTGTTCCACCTTGTAAAACTATTCGAAGATTATATTGTAATTGGAGGTTTTGGAGTACTTTTTAAATTTTCATATAATGGAACATAGAATTTATTGCTTGCCACATTTCAATGCCTTGAGGTAGTTTTATATAAACCTTTTTTTAAATTTAAAAATTTTTTAAAATAATTTTATTTATTATTCCAAACAAGAAAAACATAAAAGAAAAAGAAAATATATACCGTACATTTTAAACACTAGGTTTACAGAAAAAGGAGCAAAGAGACTCAAAAGAAAGCAAAAATTAACATTTTTTGTTAAAAAAACAACAACATTTGCCTTATCTGAAACTGGGATAAAATAGGCCTCATTTATTTAAAACAAAGCAAAACAATGAGGTGTATTTGACAATCCCTCCAATTTAACATAAAAAAGAAAATGAAATTGTATAGGGAATTATTATTTAGTGGCACAACTAGTCAGGAGACTGTCTTAATAAACCCCACTGTCATTTTTTATGGCATTTTCTCTTTGCACCAGTACTTTACCTTAATTCCAAAGCCTCCCAGGCATAGGAATAAAAAAATGAATACTACATGAATATTAATCACAGTGGGCCCAATTAGGACTCGGTACCTTAGACCCACCATGTTCTTACCAGTCCTTTATTGTTTTATTTTTAGTAATGCCACCCTTTGCCTGTACCACAACTTCCTGAGGTGGGACAAGCATGCACTAGGTCTAGACAATAATAGTCTGGGGGATCCAGTTATATGCTGGTGCTGTTGTTTCTTTGCCTCCGTTACAAAATAAATGTTCTTAGAAAATGACATAATGAAGTGATAAAATGCAAGGGGTCTGAAGCCAAAACATATGTTTTCTTATATGCCCAAATGCTTGTAGAGACCACTGTTTACATTACTGATTAGTAACGCATTTGTTGGTTTGTTCTTGCTGCAGATAGCAAACACTGAAGGGAGAGAGGGGGAATAATACCCAGAATCCTCCAGTTGCAAATGGGTTCCAGACCTGTTTTATCCTTTACATTTCGACACTGTATTCCTTCAAAACCACATCTGCATTCTGCATGATGGTGGGAATCCCCTTTCTAATCTGATGTCTTGTCTACATACTTTTATGCATTTAACTCTTTTGATGAAAACAGAGCAATGGGCCCACTAAGTCTTTCCCGTGGCTTGTGGCAGGTATTCATGTGGAAGCAGCAGAACTACTGCAAATGTAAATGCATGTACAGTACGGGCAGCCGGTTTGCATAAACATGAGAGGTCTTCTGACAGACTGTCCACCTAACTTCCATCTCATCAACACTGGGAGTGGGGGCAAAGAAACTGGAGGCAGGGGTGTCAACAACAGGATTTTCTGCTCCAGGACACTATATGGGGAGACAGAAGTGTGCACAGACTTACACAACATTGCATATGCAGCTTTGTATCCTCTTTTGCAGAGGTGGTGGAGGGCCCCAAAATAAATTTGGGATCGTACACAGTGATGCAGTTTGTATTGTTATGGATTTGGGGCAGATCCCCCTATAATTTAGTCAATGTTATAATTTAGCTAATATTTTATGGGAAGATGCCAGGCACAGTTTAAGAAAAAAATAAAGGCTATACCTGTATTCCTTTTTAGGATATCAGCTAATAGAGGTGCCATTAAGAAACAGATCAGATAACTGGGCCGTTGAGAGCAATTGAAAATGCAAATACTGTCATTCCCCTGGCTCTGAGTAATGGACAGAGACAGGGAAAATTGGGGAGGTTGCCAGGGTTACAGTGGGCATGTTGTCACCACAGGAAGAAAGTGTCCTTTTGCAGGAGGTTTTTGAAAAGAGCAAGAAGAAAGGGAGGGAAGACAGGACTCCATGCGGACTGGCTGGGAGAGGTTGTACCCAGAGACCAGGGGCATGGTTGGCTTCTACTCTGGACTCAAGCTTGCTGAAGCTATGGGAGAAGCGACAAGAGACAGTCTTGGTGTGTAATGCTCTATACTCCCCCCATCAAGGCTCAGGTGCATATATGCGTAAATAAAACCATATTGCTTAAGACACTACAGTCTCTGCTATGCCTCATTTATCCAAAGGAAACACAAACCCTGGTTAAGTACCAAGAGGCCTGCAATCTTGCACTGCTCAGCAGAGATTGGGGTAGCCCATAACAGTATGTTAACACTAAGCCAAACCGCAGCTCAGCCTTAATGCAAGGCTTCCTGGAGAAGAGATCAGAATCGTTGCAGTTCTTCCCCGCTCCTCCTATGACTGTGCTACTGTGAGCTAAGCAATGGTTTGGCTTAGCCTGCTGTACAAACTGGGGCTTGTGGTTTGTTTCGCTCCAGCCAAACCACAAAACGTAAACCGAAGAACAAAACTTGGTCGCAGCTCGTGGTTTTTTCTGGGGTGGGGCAAACCGTGAGCCTAGATTTGAATGACATGGCAAGCCCAGTCATGACTTAGCTCACAGCAGTGCAGCAGGAAGAGGACTTAAGAAGGAGCACAGCAGCTGTGATCTCTCCAAGAGCCCACACGCTCGCCCTAAGCTCAAGGTGACCAGGGGAAACTTTCTCCAGAATCACATTTGTGTGTCAGAAAAGGCTTCACTAGTTTAATTTCTGCCTCTCACAAGAGCCCTGTTCTTCTTCAGTGCCAACCCTAAACCAGGAAGTAACCTCAAGTTTCATGAGTTGTAAACCTGTTACGTCAGTGTAGGTCTTCCATCAGTTCATGCAGGGGTTCATGTAGGCCACACTCTCTGAACCATAATGGTCCATCCCCAGCAATATGGTTCAACTAAGTATGGAGTTTATTTACATTCACATTAACAGGGTAATTTTTAAAAAATGTTTACATACTAAGAAAAAAAAAAGTATCATTTTTGCACAAACGAAACCCGGGTTATAGAAAGCACATGAGTTTTCTATCACGTTTTGCTGTTGGAAGGACACATCACTGTTCAATCACAGCTACAATGATTTCAAATTGACAAAAATAATAATAATCCTCACTTGTCTACCAGGGACAATGAAAAGAAAAAACAGCCTCAGAATGACGTAAGATGTCCCTTTAAAATTGCACATGTAGCCTCTTCTTCATTGATTCCAGAAAAAAAAAGTACATGTATCCAGGAAGACCCCCCAAACATCTTCAAAATCAACAAGCTCCTTCTCCATTACCTCTTGGTTGGTCTTCCCTGATGCACATTTAATTTTTTTTCAATAGCTATGAATTGGCTAAAAACACTGAAAGGCAGGAGCAGGCTCATATCTCGCAAAACAATTGCTTCGAATAGCACCTGCACATCTCACATAATTTTCATTCTGCAAGGGTTAGAGTGTTCCATTTATTTATTTAAAAAAACTCAAGCTCAGAGTTTGCACAGCCGTACCCTGCTTTGGCAAACTCGAGGCAGAGAATAGAAAACTCTCTCTTGCCCCTGGAAACATGACCCAGACCTTTTGAAAATTGGAGCTTCAGCCAAACCTGTGGTCTCTGAATGTTGTTACCCTCCTAGCAGCCTTAGCACCATAGCCAGTAGTAGGGATGATGGGAGTTGTAGTCCAGAAACATGTGGAGGGATACAGACTCCTGACCTACCGCTATTCTAAAGGAACAGCTGGCATATTTCCAAATTCCCTTCTGTTTCTTTACTTCAGCACCTGAAATTATTATCCTGATTTAGTAACAATTCTATATTTGTACTAGGAATCCCAAAGTTTGTAACATGCTTTTGTTCAATATCTCTGGCCATTTTCCAGAAACTCACTGTAAATTCTGAAATCCATCTGACCGTTCCATTATTTCGCTGTCATTGTACCAGAAATGTATCAACAGTCAATGTGTGTTTGGGGTCCGTTTTCCTTCCTGAACCTGCTTTCAGATTGTACCTCTGAATGTGTAAACAAATCATACAATGAGATGCTCGAAGGGACCATTAGAGGATGTATCACATAAGCAAGCTTTATGACATCTAGAAGCTTTGTTTCCTTAAAATATAATGCGGGTTTCTTAAGTCTGTGTGCATAATACAGGATTCTTTCTGTTCCATTGCATCTGCGCAGCAGAATTCAATATAGCTTGTTCCTGCCTACCTTTGAGGATTCTACCATAGCGATATACCTAAAAAAACATTCTTTTTCCCAGATTTAATGGAAAGCATGGGGGTAGGAGATTAAATTGCCTTAATTTAGAAACAGCAATAGATGTTATATTTTCTACCCTCTTTCATCCCTTCCCCATAATCTATTTCCTAGGACAGATAGTTGAGCTGAGATGTGGCCAATTAGTTTTGTGAGGGCTGACATGAAATTTTTAAACCAAGACACTAAATTTCTTGCAAGTGTTGTTCCTAAAGAGAAAATAATTCTATCTGAAATTTAAAAGCACACTAATTGGAAGTACTGTATGTAAATTGCAAGCAGCTTTTAGGCTCCTGGGCAGCATACCCTGGGTTCAAGTTTGCTCATCTGGTGTTGTTTTGTTGATTATTACCTACTTACTGAATTTAACATGCATTAGAAATATGAGCGGAAAAGAAGGTTAGAAGTATTACATAGATATTAAAACCTCAGTGCATATCTGGAACATCCATAAAACATGAAGATGCCATTTGTTGCAAAACAATTTGGAATAACTGCCCTGAAAGTGCATTTGGAGTTTTTTGTGAGCTTAAAGCACAAGGAATGTAAATTTGCAAGATGCTGCCACAACTTCTTGGAAGGCAATTAATGCAGTGCAAAAGGAGCCATTTTAAGAACAAATGACTGTGAGATACGCATACAAAATGAGGGATCCCAGATTTTCGAAAGCACATTTTTCAGTTGGCAACAGTTTTTTAAAAAAGAAATTGTTATTAAAACCATAGTTAGAATGGTGTAAGAGCCCAAGCCTAGGGAAAATGTTTATATCACAATTTGAAATCTGCACATGCCCATTGTTAAAATTACATGCTTTGTGGGGGGTGGGGGGAATGAACAAGTTTATTTGATGTGTGTCACTTAATTATTTATTTAGTTTTATGTGTAGCCATCTCCCTTAGTCTCTGAGGGGTGTGAGAGGGTTATTTTTCCTTCAGTAAGCTAAGAAGTGGAATTTGCTTAAGAAGTGGTGGTTTCTATTTATCAACTTAAAAACAATTTACAGTGGTACCTCAGGTTACATACACTTCAGGTTACATACGCTTCAGGTTACAGACTCCACTAACCCAGAAATAGTGCTTCAGGTTAAGAACTTTGCTTCAGGACGAGAACAGAAATTGTGCTCTGGCGGCACAGCGGCAGCAGGAGGCCCCATTAGCTAAAGTGGTGCTTCAGGTTAAGAACAGTTTCAGGTTAAGAACGGACCTCCGGAACGAATTAAGTACTTAACCTGAGGTACCACTGTACTCAGGAACTCTAAAGCAAACTCTGTACAGTCATCAACAGTATTGTGTACATTAGACTGTGATAAAAAATGGATGATATTGCTCAACCTCCTCTGAACCTTTTTATTATTGTTGTTTTAAATAGGTGCAGAATATTCTGGAGAGCCATTTTTAAACTGGATTAATGAACCAAGTAGTCGTTGGACCATTATTCACTTTCATCTCTGACATCAACAGAGAGGTAAGAAACTAACAGTTGTCGTATGTTATTTCCAGCATGCTAACATAGCTATGATGAGAGGACATTGCTTTTATGTGTCAACGTTTCAGTTATGCATTTGTTTGGTACACTCATTCATGTGCAAGATTGAAAATGTGTATACATTTATTGCTGTTTTTGTTTGTACATGTCACACTAAGACAATTTATTGTCTAGAACACATCACTTCTGAATGCTGTTAATGCAGTATCTTGGCCTTATGCCGAAGCTGGGTTCAGGGGGCACCAATTGCAGCATATCATTGGGACGAATCAAAAGGTTACACCTTTGCAGAATATCATGGCACCAGGAGAATGAGGTTGAGAATGATGCTCAGAATGGTTTGGCTAAGGGTGAGCAGGCAGGGTCCCTGAAAGTTGTTGTAACAGCAACTGCCTACTTAACTACTTTTATACTTAAGTGTACAAGTTGATCAACATGACCTATTATGCATGGATTTGTTAGAAGATATTGCTAGGGTTCCCTTAAAGGGGGAGTGTCTGGAAAGCAGTCCAAGCACCACACCTCCTGCTCTGAATAGCAACGTGGTCTTTAGAAGCACCTTAGTACTGGTGGAATCTAACCCAGACTTGGTGGGGCAAGGCAGAGACTACAGTGCAAGTGTCTTGATCCTGCTAGTAATATCTGATTCATCCATTGTGAAAATGAGAGGACCTCTTCTCCTCTGTAGGAAGAACTTTCCAAAGACACACGATAACGTTCAGGTCAAAGTTTCAGAGATTAGGTACTGAAATGAAAGAGTACTTTTAAATATATAAAACATATTAAAGCATTGCATTGCACCCTTCTGGTGCAAAGGCATTGTTCAAGGCAGCTAGCCTCATCTAAAATCTAAAGTACCATTGATGCTGTCATTGCTTAGATTTTGGCTTATTTGCAAACTTTTCTATTCATTTAGCCTTTGCAGGGGACTGACATGCTATAATGTGAGGTATACATTGACAGCTCTTATTTGTTGTTGTTGTTGTTGTTGTTGTTGTATTATAGTATTTGTTGTTGTGGAGCATGATCTGGTATGCCCGTAACATCTTTGCAGCTGTGTTCTGGACCAGCTGAAGTTCCAGAAACTTTTCAAAGGTGGCCTTTTGTACAGCTTTTTTTGCCTTGGTGCAACTAAGACCAGTGTTCCCATGTGTTCCTCTGACCTCTTCAGGAATAGGCACAGCTGGTGTAGCACATTTGGCACAGCTGCCACCAGGTTATCCTCATGTAAAGCTAAATCCAGGATCAAATCTGTTTCTTCAGGGGAGCTATTGCTTCCTACAAAATACTCTGAATCCCTATACCTGAGTCAGGCCCTTTCCTGATCTGGAGAGTGTCTGTCATGTCTGGATTAAGCATTAATATGTTAGCCCTCTTCCAGCCAGCTACTGATACAGAATGTCAGCATCTTCCTTGGTATTAGGTGAAAGGAAGAAATAGAGTTGCATGTTATCTGCATATTGATTATGTATAACACACCCTAAAACCAGGGGTCAGCAAACTTTTTCAGCAGGGGGCCAGTCCACTGTCCCTCAGACCTTGTGGGGGGGCGGACTATATTGGGGGGGGGGATGATGCAAGAGTACCACGAGCCTTGGTGGCTGCTTACCTGTGTCTTGAGAGCGACGGCGGCTGGACGATGAGTGGCGCGTGAAAGGGCTCTGGAGAGGGGCTGCTTAAAATGGCAGCCACTTGAGTGCTGCTGCTGCTGGCACCAACAAAGCCCAGCCCCCTTCCTCCTCTAGGCAAGGCGGGGAGAAGCCAGGAGGAGGGAGGGAGGAGGTGGCACCGGCGCCGTAGGAGGGAGAGGGAAAGAATACACAGACTGGCAATCCACACGGCGATTCCCAGACCATCCGCAGGCCGGATCCAGAAGGCAATTGGGCCTGACCTGGCCTGTGGACTTTAGTTTGCCGACCCATGCCCTAAACCTTTGGACAGTCTCTGCTAAATAAGGTGAGGGATGATTAACCTTGCAGGTCACCATCAGCCAATGGCTAAGGCACTGAGCAGGAGTTCCCAGTATCACTTCCTGGAACCATCCCTCAAGGAAGGACTGGAGCTATCGCAGAGCAATTCCTGCTAATCCCATACCAGTCAGTCCAGAAGCATATTGTGGTCAAAGGTATCAAATGCCATTGAGCGAATCAACAGGAATGTACTCCTTCCATCCAGTTTCCAGCAAAGGTCATTTAGAAAATGTAGCAAGTGTAATATTTGAATTAGAATTACAGCTGCTAGAAATGATTTTTTAAAAGTTAGCCACATATAAAAACTTATTTAAAATTATTTGAACTGTGTTATGTAGAATAACATTAAAGCCTTTAAGAAAATATTTTATTGCCCTCTGAATGTTGTGTGTGTGTCTGGATTTCTCCAGCACAAATGCAGCTTCCGCTCGGCTGATTTTTAACACACTGCTGTGATTTGGGGAAAAACTGGCTCTGCATACACGCACATTTGCATCTCACTCCACTCACTTCTGTGCAGAAAGGGACCAGAGTTATCTCCAGTGTGCTGTTCGCTTCTGGTGGATAACCAGTAAAAACATCAAAATATTGCTTCCAAAGTTTGTGGGGTGTGTTACCTTACAAGACCTTAGAGAATAAAACCTGTGGACCACAGGCTAAAGCAACCACAATGGAAAGTTTTTCTTCTCCTAAGTAGAAACATATGTTTGCCAAAGTTCTTTGTAAAGCCCCAAAGCTTGCACTTTCTCTCCCTCTCTTACTCTCACTGCTTAAGATGGTCTAATATAATATGTCAGCCTGCTCCCCCCCCCCCCCGCAAATCTTGGAGTCTGGCCAAATAGTTTTTGTTAGGCATCAAGTGGGGAAGAGGCAGGACCAAGCATGCTGAGGGGAAAGAATGGAGTGCCTGGGGAGGAAGCAAGATAACATCCTATCTAGGCATAACATCCTGTCCTGTGCTTCTGTAGCGATTGTCTGAAAAAGATAACAAGAGGCAGCATCTCTCCTCTTCTCCCAGAACTTCAGAGAGTGCTCCGTGTTCTAAGAGAATGCACATGCCATATGCACACAATATCACTGAGTGAGCACTTGCCATTTAAAAATGTAAACAACGGCATGGGGCGCTTTTCGTTTGTTTGTTGAGGAATGTAGTCCAGTCCCAGCCAATTCTAACTTACTGAAGCAGCGCAGAGAGAGGGGTCAGCAGGGACTTAAATAGGAAGCCATCAGAATGAATGGCTACCTCTCAGCATTGGGACAAGCGGTCCATAGGGAAAACATGCCCTTTCCTATGATGCAGCCTGTTAAAGAGTTTCATCGGTTCCTTTTAAGTGGTGTTTTAAAATAGGGCTTTTAGCTTTCATTAGCATTGGAGTTTATGGTCCTTCTGTGAATTGAGGACTCATGTAGATAGAGCTTTTGTATCTTTAGACGACTATCAGTGATAATGAGTGTGCTTGATCTGTCTGTCTGTCTGTCTATCTATCTATCATCTATCATCTATCTATCTATCTATCTATCTACCTTTCTTTCATCTATCTATTCCCAATATAAGAGACATGCATGTGGTTGGATTTTTAGGTGCACATTATTGGTGGTCTTAATTTAGGTTATGCTGGATTTGCTGCTATGGAAAGCAAATGTTTAATGTTTGTGGGGTAGTTTATAGATCTATAGAGCAATTTGCAGGGTAGTTTATAGATCTATGTAACATTTTTTTCCGTGGGCAGGCGGGGAGGGGGAAATGAGTGTCTTCAAAGGCCTTGGCCTAATTTCAGTGCTGCATGTGAAGAAGAGAAGTTCATTTCCTTTAGTAGGTTCAGAGAGTGCAGGCAAACCTCCTGCTGCCTTGAACCTGTGAGGAAAAGATCTTCTATAAGTGAGATAGTGGAAGTGATTGTCCTCCCCAGCCCCCAACCGAAAACAGATTCTAATTTTCATTTCAGGCAAGAAAACTAAGAGCCGTTTCATATATTTGTCAGAGGGAAAGTTTTTATGCTACTTCAGATTGGAGGAGAACCCTTGTCCTTGCTGTGTTATTTTTTGTATATATAGGCATTGGTTTGTATTAGAGAACGTTGACTCATACGCAGTTTATGGGGGGAGGGGGGGATGTCACTAAATTCTCCCGATACCTGCATTTTGAATGTGGTGTCTTTGCAGACAAGTGCCTGACATCTGTTTGGGATGAAGCTGTTGACTATGCAGGCATGTGGGTAGAATCCTTAACACTGTTCCTTGCAGTGCAAAGAAACTATAGACACACAGACACCATCAAGGTAGTATGTAGGCCTTGGTATTACAGTGGTACCTCGGGTTACATACGCTTCAGGTTACAGACTCCGCTAACCCAGAAATATTACCTCAGGTTAAGAACTTTGCTCAGGTTGAGAACAGAAATCGTGCTCTGGCGGCGCGGCAGCAGCAGGAGGCCCCATTAGCTAAAGTGGTGCTTCAGGTTAAGAACAGTTTCAGGTTAAGAACGGACCTCCGGAATGAATTAAGTACTTAACCCGAGGTACCACTGTAGTTCTTGGTGTCTGATCATTCTGGTTTGCATAACTCAGTAGGTCAGAACAGCCTGTGATCCAGAACGTTCTGGAGCTCACTCTGCAGATACATTTCTGCTTTGGTTGACTAGCCTTGCCTAATGCTTACAAGCATCTTTCTGGCGATCCTCCAGTGATTCATAGACTAGGAAATCCTGCTTGTCTTCTGTCTATAGTATTTGCTGTTTTCCAGAATGAAGAGCAAGAGGGTGGAGAAGCTGTGGCCCTACAGATGCTGTGTGGCTGCAACTCCCACTAACCCAACCCAACAACATCTGAATGGCCATAGGTTTCCCAGACCTGGGATATACATTCCAAATATGTCTGTAACCATACCTTTTCCCAAAGCTATGAGCACTACTGTTTGCTGCTTAGACATCCGACTATGCCAGGCTTTCTTCATTCAGCTTTGAAGTGCTGGGGACTTGTGCTGCAAATGGTTTATTTTCCCAGGGTTTCTTAGGATGAGGCCGTGATAAAAAAATGTTTAAACAAATTTTAGGGGGGAATAATAAGTCATCTGTGTTTCTGTTGCATATATTTCAGCTTTCAATGTGAGGAAGCATTCTGAGTGCTTGCTGGGCATTAATATTCTGTGTATTTGGAGACAGTCCTTGAAATCCTTTTGGCACTGTGACTTCTGGTTTTGAAAGTAAAATGCAGACAGACAAGGATAGTCTGAAGGAGAAATTCTGTCTTGACACTAAACCATTAAGAGTACTATGTTTACTCAGTCCTCTTTCCTCGTACAATAGTAAATAGAGCAATCCAAAATTCTGCTGTGTGTATAAATTGCCTGACACCCTGTTTGTAACCACATTAGTTTGGAAGCATGTCCTGTTGATCTCAGCGGAACTTATTTCCATGTAAATGAGCTTAAGATCCCCACTCTCCCATTTAGGGCCCATTCACGGTTTCGTTTGTCCTGTGAGTTCTAATATTTTGTATTGATCTCTCATCATGCAGCTGAGAGGTGTTTTCTTTTGACCTGCTGTTTTCCTTGAGGAAACCCACCTTTTACTGCTGAATTGGAACAAACGTCAATCCATGGAAAACCTGAAGAGAAATATGTCTCTCTTCTGAACTGGTCCTAAAACACTCCTGAACGGTATTTGTTTACTCAAGCTGTGTTTTGGGCGGTCCACTCCCACCTCCTTTCATTATATCTCTGCCTACCGCTGCAGGATAATTTTTCCAGGTGTCTCTCCAGCTTCAAGCAGTGCACTTCCAGTTTTCTTGACAGGCTTAAATTGCAATTAAACAATATGTGTGGAAAGTGTGTGTGTGTGTGTTCGTTCCGGCTTGTTTGTTTTGATTGGTTGTGATGGTTCCCGTCACAGCTTTATTTTCAGTCTTTAGTAATAAGTATTAAATAATATGCATCGCAGTGGTGGCCAGACTTGGCCCCCCAGCTGTTTTGGGACTACAATTCCCATCATCCCTGACGACTGGCCCTGTTAGCTAGGGATGATGGGAGTTGTAGTCCAAAAATAGCTGGAGGGCCAAGTTTGGCCACCACTGATGTATCAGAAGGGTCCTGGCTCCTTTGGTTTATGTTGAATGATTGTTTGTCATGGACTGGCTGGATGCAGAGGAGTGGTGGGAGGCATCAGCTGGGGAACCCCCAAGCAAACCCCCAAGGGAAGAAAGCTCAGAGCTGGGGGGTTGGTAGTGGGACAGCGATGAGTGATCAGAGGGAGAAGAGGGTACCGACTGGTAGGAGGAGATGTCAGAAGCTGAAGAGGTAATGGTATAGTGAACAGGAAGAGGCTGTGGCAGAGAGCAATTCAGACTCTGAGGCAGAAGCAGAGTGGAGGCAGGCTGCTGAAGAATCCAGGGAGTCCCCACCTCCTGCAATGACTAGCTCTCCTCCTCCCTGGTCTCCCAGAACCCAAAGAGGTATGAAGAGGGTGGAGCAAAGAGACACTAGACAACGGAGTCTCAGGTTGCTGGGGAAGGACCTGAGGGAGTAGGAGCCTTAGAAAGTGGTGGAAAGCAGGGAACTTCAGTCCTGACAACTGTCTCATTGGGGCAAACCTACTGAGAAAAGTCACTGTGATCACTAGGCACAGTCTGATCACTAAGTGAGCTTCTGATCCCACTATCTAGAAGCACTTCTGTCTCTAGAAATAGCTAACATTCTCTCCTGAAAGAACCATAAGTGTTTGAATCTTATTCTTGGCAAGATTTTGAGATGCAATGCCCTTGAATCCAGTCAGAGGCTGACCTGCATATGAGTGTGTCAGGGGTGTGAGTAAGGGTTTCATCTTTACAACGTAAGAGTAGACCCACCCTGCCCCGGCCAGCAGATTCACTTGCAGGGGAGCATTGCTCAGTTTGCTGTTTGAACCAGGAGGCTTGGGTGACGGACTTCCGAAGAGGGTATCTTGCTAAACGTGTGCACCTTGAGCCTGCTGTTCAATGTTGTGAGAGCCAACACTGTCAGCTTACCCAGTATCTCTTTAACAGAGCTACAGAGTCAACATCTGAACCTAGAAGTGGAGCCCCAACCAGCAATTTCTTCTAGAATGCAGTGTTGATTGCAGCGGCTGTCCCTGGAACGCAGCCCAGGGAGAGAACAGCTGGTCCAAGCATGCCAAAGGCCTTTCCTGAACTGTAATGGCCTCACCTCACCTGCCCTTCCCTTGCTATCTGACACTCCTTTTCTCACTCCTCATTGTTGATTCCCCGGCCTTTGCCCTAGTCATATCTGTCTAATGTAGATTGCAAGCTCCCTGGGTGGGGACTGAATTATTATTGTTCTGTGGAACCCCTGCTGCCGCAGCGTTCCCACTGCTAAACATCTTGGCAATACAATACTTTGAATTACAGACCTCAAGATTTAAGTCAAGTAACAGGAGTGACTGTTCTTGGGACAAATTCCAGAGTGAGAGCCCTTCTGTGCTCCTGCTCTGAATCACGAGTGCAGCAGCAGCAGCATATGATGATTGTTGCTACCCTGTAAGTCATATTTCAAATGATATCATTACCGAACTCTCTCTACTGGGAGCTAACTCACTTTATACTTTTAGGTGCATGCTTGCCTCGCTAACATTTGCAGTCTCAGAGTTCATTGCACGGTGACAATCCTGTGTCCTGTATCGTGTCTTCGTTTTGATCCATCGGTACTTTGCCATCTAGTTCAGAGGCTGAATATGTTCCGAGCTGGCAAGCAAACTCAGATCCATGTTAGCAGCTTTCGCCAGATGGTGGTGTGCTGTTTTGAACTAAGCATCAGTGGAACAAGCATACATGGGCTGATGAGGTATACTGTTCCACTTGTTTTTGCCAAAAAGCCATGCAATGCACTGAGTGGCCATCTTGGCCACATGGTATAGCTGAATGAGAGAGAGAGAGGGTATTTCGAGGGAGGCAATAAATAAGGCGGCAAACCCTGGTGTGTATGTGTGTTTGTTTTTCTGTGTGCATTCAGTTTTAGCAGTTTGACTGGCAAACATAACTTGACTGCAAGTCATGAACTTCATTGAATTTCATCCAAAAAAGACACAGCTGAGCAATCTACAGGAAGCAATCTTTTCCTAGAAGCATGCCGTTCCAAACTGTACAAGTTATTGTGCAGCTCGTAAAAGTGTCTGCACAGCTAAACCTGGACAGTTGGGTCCTGTTCAGATTTTTGTATTCATCAGAACTGGGCTTCCAATATGGGGAAAAAAAAATATCCACATTGTGCAGTGAAAGAACAGGGACAGGAACCCTTGGTTGTTTCTGGTTGCAGCTGTTTACTGAAGTTTTTTTTGCAAAATATGGAAAAATGTGAGAATGTTAGTTCAGTAATGGTTCCAAGCTCGACTCGTGGAAAATATGACAGTGTTTCCATCAGCAGTTAAGAACAAGTTGGGTCTTTTATTTCTGCAGGGGAGGTGGCATGCAGTTTGCCCTACACAGGAAATTGTCAACGGTAACCTGCAAGCAGCTGTGCAATGACTGCATGTAGGAGGGAAGAGTTCAAAGCCTTCCTGTCCTGATATTTACTGATGGCTTTAGCTTTTTCAAGTTAAGACCAAATCTAAATGAGGATGTATAAAATGTTGCTGATCTAAGCTAGTGCAGATAGTTCTCATGGAACGGAGACCCAAATACGTGGCATACTTGAAATTATATAATTTGTGCACATTCACACGCAGTAGATAAACTACCTGCAACTTCTGAGGACACGGGAGAGTTGAAGGGACATTTAGGCAGGCCTGTGTAGTGGGGGCAGCTGGGTAGACTTCTCCAGGGCCTCAGAGAGCTAATTCAGCCCAGGGCCATTCCAGGGACCAGCAGCTCTGTCGTTTGAGTTTATAACTTTATTCTAACAAGACTCCCGCCCCCGGCCTCAGATTGTGGCCAGCCCCTACATTCAGACTTTACCTTTCTTGCCCACCACCACTGAAACGGGGGCAGCACCTTTGCAACTGCCTGCTACCTGCCCAGCAAGACAAATCCTAGCACCACCATGACTATATGCAGCTGGGCAAATCGGGTCACAGATAATAAGCTGTATTATGTACCTCACATTGCCAGGCAGAAGACAATAGTGCCATTGCAACACTTCTCTCTGCCTCTCACTCAGGGGGAACATCACCAACCCAAACGTCCCATCTCTAAGGCTCTCACCCTGGGTTAAAGGTCACAGGCTTATTGCCCACAGTGCAAAGCCTACAATTTCATATCCTGACAGGCAGGGTGGGCACACCGGAAACTTACTGAAGTGTAGACCCAAAGGGGAGAGGGAAATCCCATTTGGTGTCTCTCCCTTTGGGGACAACGCTGCCACAGGTTGACCCTGCCATCCACATTGGTGCCTGCTCTTATATACTCAGGCAGGCTGTGCACCACACCCCAGCTGTATCCACTCGCCTGTTTTGGCTGCCCCACTCCAGCCAGTAGGTGGGCAGTCACATTTTGCACCTGGAGAGCCAGTGTGGTGTAGTGGTTAAGAGCGGTAGCCTTGTAATCTCGGGAACCGGGTTCGCAGCTCCGCTCCTCCACATGCAGCTGCTGGGTAACCTTGGGCCAGTCACACTTCTTTGAAGTCTCTCAGCCCCACTCACCTCACAGAGTGTTTGTTGTGGGGGAGGAAGGGAAAGGAGAATGTTAGCCGCTTTGAGACTCCTTAAAAAGGGAGTGAAAGGCGGGATATCAAATCCAAACTCTTCTTCTTCTTCTTCTGTTGTAGTTTCCGAAGCATTTTCCGTGGCGGTCCCAAAAGCAGTCGAGCGTAAGTCACTTGTGCATGGATTGCAACATAATCTGTTTATTCTGCCAATTGAGTTAGCTATGGATGAATTCTAATTTCACACACACACACACCTCCATCATCCCAAAAAGAGAGAAAGCACAATCATTACATAAAGGATCCGTCTTCTGCTAAAGCTGATAATATGGTTGCAAAATGGAAAGTTTTAGTGGCTTTTTTTTGTTTTGTTGCCGGTTTCAGATGTTCCTTCTGTTTCCACTGACATAGGTACGGATGCAACAGCATGTATATTATGTTACATTTTAGATAGGCCATAGCAAATTATTTGTAGAAAGCTAATAGCAATATTTAAATCAAGGAATAGAAAGCTTTGTCCTTGTTTAGCCAAAAGATATAAGGTGCTTGTCTAGATAGCGTTTCTCAGACTCTCTGAATTCAGCTCTTGTTTCCTTTTACATTTATCCTGCCTTCCAACCTTGTCCCCACCTCATGCCCAAACCAGGCCAGTTGGCAGATGAGGGAGGGCACAGAGCTTTGTCCACGAGAAACTATGGAATGAGTTGGAGGGATGTTTGAGTAAGAGGGTTATAGTTTGAGTCACTCACCTGCCAGACCCAACAGAGGATTGTATAAAATGAACTCAGTGCTAGGAAGTAGCCCCCGCCCCTTTCCACTGTGATGTGATGTCAGTAATGCTACTTATGTGCATGAGTCCTGATCACATGCAAATTTGAGGCAGGCTACAGCTAGACGGATGTTGAGAATTTACCTCTGGTCACGTTGTGTGACCAGAGCAATTCGTGTGCGGTTAAGGTCATGATTTCCACCCACCCATCTAGACATGCATGAAAAATTGCTCTCGCCTGTGGCTTGGAGAAGTCTGCTAACGGCTCCGCGGAGAGCCAGCTGCACCTTGTGTTGTATTTAGACTGTGGTCTGAGATGGTCTTTAAGTCTTTATGCGTCCTTTCATTGCTCACAAAGAGCCAAATTAATGAGACCTCATCAATGTGCAATTTGAATCAGTGCGATCTGCTAAAGAGCGTGTAGAAATTAAACATGAAGGGGCTGCATTCAGTTCTCTGCTGAATGGCATGCTTTTGTAAAGTCCGAAGCAGGTGACACTCCACCTTAGTTTTTCATCTCTAAATGGGATTATAAATTTCCCCTGCTGGAGTTGATCATCTTAACTGAAGTTTCTGACACGTGCCACAAGTAGGGTTATAGAATACCACTGCTGCTCCCATTAGCCACTTATTTCACATGTTCGATAGGCAAAGGGCTAACAGATTGCATGCAGGAATGGGCAAAGGAGTATGCGACGACAAACGTTGAATGCGGGAGAGCAAATAGGTTTTTCAGAGGGCAGAAGAAGAGCTTAAATATTTGTGTTTTTTGTTTAAATGGGGAGGTTCTTTATTCAGCATCTTTGGTCTGTGTGACACTACATCAATCCATCCATCCAGAGAGAGAGAATATAGGTTTCTGCTCCAAAGAGTGAGTGGTATTCAACTATGTTGTACTCAGAGTAGAACTATGGGAATTAAGGTGCCTAACTTAGTCATTTTCATTAAGTTCAGTGTGTGTACTGTTAAGTTCTACCATGTATTTATTATTTTATTCATTTAAGATCCAGTGGTGGTGTAGTGGTTAGAGGGTCAGACTAGGGCCTGGGAGACCGGGGTTCTTATCCCCGCTCTGCTATGAATCTCACTGGGTGCCCTTGGGCCAGCCACTGTCTCTTAGCCCTGACCTCCCTCACAGGGTTGTTGTGAGGATAAAATGGGGAGGGGAGGGAAACCATGTATGCCCCCCTCAACTCCTTGGAGGGAAGGTGGGATAGAAAACAAAATTTAAATATAAAATATATGTATTATTTTAACCATGCTCATAGGGTGGTTTGAATAAATATTTGCTACGAAAACTGGATGTTGAGTGCAGAAAGCTTCCCAAATAAATAAATAATGGCTGTTTTACTGAGAACCTTTGGCCTGCTAGTCATCAGCTTGGTGCTTCCAGCTCTTGAAATATATATAATTTTGATGTTCAGTGAGGACTGCCTTCAGTGCAGGTTTGGGCATGGTTGAAGTGTGATCTTTTGTGGAAACATGAGCACTGTTAATGATGAAACCAGAGCTTTGTTAATAATGCATTATAATTATTGCTTCTGTCAGGCACGTATCTCATATTTCTTTTATTTTAGCCAGAGAATCCCAGTTAAACTGACTTGGTTTGATATGGTTCTTTTCTATACCCCTTTTTATTTTTATTTTGTTTTTGTGACTGGGGAGCCTTTTTCAAGGTCAGTGTGCCTTTGCAATGTAAGTGCATCTATTTAGCCTGGTGAAATACGTAGGCAGAGAATAGCCTACGTAATGAGCAAATGAGGGAACACAATCTTAATAATACAAGGCACCTGATTGGCCCTGCCCTTTCCTCAAACAATGGAGATGTACGTCATTCTCCAGGACAAACAGTGCCTGTGGCACTGTGCTTCCCATGTTTGAACTGCTTTCCTGGGTGAAATCATCCACATATATTTCTGTGCATTACGGATAAAGCTTCTTATCCAGTGTGTCAGTCAAACACATAAACATTTAAATGCTACCTAGGTGGAGAGCAGGGCTGTCCTCTCTTTTGGGGAGGGAGGTGCGATGGAGCACAATCTTTGGATGATGAAGATCCCAGGTTCAGCATTGGGCATTTCTAGTTATAAAGGGCAGGCATCCAAGGAATGGGAAAGTACTTTCTTTGTCTCAGGTCTGGGGCTGGACAATATCTGGTTTTCAACATTGCAATATATCACCAGCTAAACATTGTGATATACCGATATATCATGATGTCTGTAATAAGGATGGAGTTATGTAGAGGCACTGGCTGGCTTCACGGTTTTCCCCGTGTCATGGTTTTTTGCATAACAAACACACCCCATGATTCACGATATATTGCCAGGCCAAAAATTATGAAACTGATATCACGATATAGACTTAAAACTGGTTTTGGACGATATATTGATAGAGCCACTTCCGCCTTAAGAGGAGGTGGTGTTGCGGGCTGCATGCCCCCACCACGCGCGCAGTGGCTGGCTCTCAGCCTCCGCGTGATTGAGGGAATCCCTGGCCCCGTCATCCCCTGGACAGCCAATCGGCTGGCTCGGGGGGCAGGGCCTGCCCTATTTAGTGCAGGCGCAGCCGGGGATCTCCCTCTTTTGCCGCCTCCAGCTGCTAAGGTTTCCCACCCTCCCACCTTTTAAGGTTTCCGTCTTTGACCTTGCTATGGACCTTGGTTGATCGCCGTTAAGGGGCCTGGTAGGATTTTTTTCCACTTGGCAAATTGGCACCAGCCACTTGGTTTTTTGCCTACCTCGTAGCAAATTGTCACAACTTCCTTGGTATTGGCGGTTAGGCATTGGTATTGGTATTGGTATTGTTATGTAGATGGAAGGGGGGAGAAAGCGCCATCACCTCCCCCGCATATTGAAGGGTAGTCCGATAAAGGATTCTGTGGGGCATGGCCCTGTCCAAAGCCTATGGAGGTGAGGGCCTAAGGCACGCCCCCGAGCAGTGACCCCGGGGGAGTTCCTAGTTGATGTGCATCAGCAAGACCCCCTACTGGTGGTTAACCCTTCCCGGACTTCAAGCGGACGGGCTGAAACCGTATAGTCTGTTAGAACCAATGCCAATACCGCTCTTACCTGTAACCAATAAAGTTGTGACCATATTTAGCTCATTAACCTTAAATAATTGTGTCATGTGTCTTTATTTCCACTGGGGCGGGGGGGGGGCGGGAACTCACCACACAACAACCAGCACTCGCCTTGGATAATTAGCCGGATCAGGGATTTTAAAAATACCTGGTCAGTGGGTAAATGCAGGGATGGGTTTTGAGTGGACACTAGGTGGATCTGGGTGGGTCAGGAGGTAGAGAACATAGCCGTGTCTGGCAGGTTATAGGTTGAAGCCTGGCAGGTCTGGGCACCAGTTCATTAGGAGGCTAAATTAAACCCTCTACTGTACTTCAAAAAAACAAAGCAAAAACAACAACAACAAACCCACACCTGGTTTATTCCACAAAATTATAGATGTGAATAAATACGTAAAATATGGTCTAGTTGTCAAACCATAAAATCTGGTGCTTTCAGATACTTTGGAGATGGTTGGCAAGCTTTGGAAGGGTGTTGGTTTTTAACTAGGGAAATGATGCCAATTGAAGGACTGAACTTTTTCTTCAATCTAGTTTGGATCTTCCACGCCATAACTTTAGCCTGGCCATTGACACTTGTTCTATTTTGCTTTGTGGGACCCACTGCTTTTGTTGAATCTCTGTAGTTATGGTTGGTTTGTTTTTACTGTCTTACTTGTTTTAAAATTATTTTGCTTGTTTTATAACTTGCATATTGCATTGTAACCTGCCCTGGTACCTTGTGGTGAAGGGCAGGTTAAGAAATCTTACATTTAAATAAATGTAGTGTGGTCTTTGGGGAGTTGCCACATGATGGCGCTAGAGACCTGGATGCCGCTGTGTTGGCTGGTGTCTTATCTGGGCAAACAAGGATCAGCAGTTACCTTAGTGACTTCCGGAGCTTGAAATTGTGAGGGATCATCAGGAGATAAGCAAGTTCTGGGGAGATGAGTGACATTCTTGCTGTTTGACCACAAGGAAGATGTGCATCTTTAGAGATGGCCCTGGAAAAAAAACTGGGAAAAATGGGATCACAGGCACCTGATCTCCACCGTCTAGCTAGCAGCTTTGTATGGGTGCCAAACCGCTATAATTTAATCCCTGAAAAACCAGTAGCAATCACTATGATGATAATGCAATTTCCTCCATTTATGGGTCTTCAGAACCTTTTGCCATTGTCCAATAATTAGCTGGAATATCTTGCCACTGTCTTCTCTGTTGAAACGTAAGAGGCATTTTGTGGTATTGAGAAGAGATAGGTGCAACAGTCGTTGACAGCGTTTATCTGACCTTTAGCCACCCATGATGCCGTGGTGCACTGGGAGTGACAGTGGGAGGGGCTAGGACTTGGTGGTGCAAACACACTAGTAGGAGCCCTGGATTGGCTCTGCCAGTGTGTTCGCACCATGCTGACCTTCCTGCCGCCTCTCCTTCCTGGTACTCCCCAGTGAGTACGTGACAGGTGGTCAGGTAAGTGCTGCTGCCCCAACATGGGAAGAGAGGAGGGCTGGAAGAGGAAATAACTCTTCAGTCTTTGGCAAATTTGGTCTTTTCTTTTTGGTTTTCCTTCTGAGGAAGGCCGAATGAGGGGGTAGGGCAGATCTCCGCAGGCTCCAGTGTTCTGTATCATGGCATACAGCTTCTTTTCAAACCCTTCCTTGATTCTGGTGGTGTCTGGAATGCATGGGTGGTATCTGGAAAACTGTAAGTGCTCACTTTGTAAATGGGTACATTATCAATAAAACTTTCATTTTTGGTGGGTGGGGGCATAAAAAAGCAGGGGAGGAATTATACATAAACTTTTATGTCGCAGAAATTGCTGTGGCACTTCCTGACAGCTAGTCATGAAATATGCCGAAAGAAGACTGGAAGGATACTTCGAAAACACATCAGTGAAAGGGTTAGAGCACCTCTGAATAATAAACCATATCCCATGAAATATCTGTCCTAGACTGGGCAAAATATTTATGTGCCTGGCTTGCAGGATGCAAACAGTTATGGCCAGCCAAGAGACAAGAGTTTTATGGCATCTCTAATTACATACCACATTACTTCATTGCATTGTGTTATACATTATGCATTATATTAACCAATCAGGAACTTAAAGAACTTCAGCCCACTGTGCGTAGCTCATCACTTCAACAGGAACTGCTTCGTCTGCTGTAAATAATTAATTGCTACCACGATAATCTTGCCTGCCTGCAATGCCATACATGCATATGTATCTAGTAGCGGTGTATATCTTCCTTTTGCATATACATGCCCATCCTGCCTGCTTTTTAAACTCGTGGGAAATTATAGAAGTTTAGTAGGTGTTACAAGATCTGCTAGTGTGCCTGTACACACATGAATGTGAACAACTGTTCTGGCCATGTATTCACTGCAGACTTTGCAATGAGCAGTACACTTCTTTTGATCTTGACTAAAGACATTTGTGTACACATAGACTGAATTGCATTGGCTTTTAATACCTTGCTTGTTGTGGGAGAACTTGGCACTGACCAATAAGGAAACCAGCATCAGTTGCTTACTTTGGAGAGCTAGCAGGAACCACACCATGATTGCAGTTTTGTTGGCATCTGTCTTTCCCAAGAGACAATAAAGGGGTGTGTCTTTTGGGGTGAAGTCAGACTGTTGGAAAGTTACAGCACTTGCTGTGGCTGTAGAGACCAATGTAGGAGAGACATGTTTTGTTGCAGCTAGGGCAGATGAAGGCAAGAGAGAGGGAGCTTGTTAAAATAATCTTTCCACCTGTCAAAATGTTGGTAAAATTATTGTTTACTTGATATGGTTAGTTGTCAACTGCAGCGTGACTCCTCCCTTTCAACCACTGATGGTCTCTGGGTTCCTTGTGAACCCACCAAAGTATGGCTTTAAAATATAAAGATTATTCCTTTAAAAAACACTGGTGAGGTATTGATCCATAGCAGAGTCCTAAGTAGTCCCAAAGTAACTAGGGTCATTGAGGAAAGATATGTGTCAAGTTAAGCTCAAGTGGAGGAAATTCTGGAGGCGTCCTGCGTCAAGTTAATTGAGTGTCGTGCCACAAGATGAAAGCCAAGTCATGGGGCAGCTCTGCCCTACTAGTGCTCCTGCTTTCGCTAAAAACTTGGGAATTCCAAGGAAATGGAGAAATCATGGTGCAAATTGTGCTTGAGGATTAGGAACCATTTACACACAATGCTACTTGTGATTGGCATTGGCTGGGATCAGCACTTACTCACACAACAAAGGCTCTCTCTCATGACCACCATGACACCCTCATTGCTCAGAGCAAAGCTAGATTGCACATAGTCTTCAGCCATGTACAGGGTTCCATCTGAACAAGTCCTCAGCAATAAGGGAGGCCTAGAGAAAGGGAATTGGGAATGAAGCAAGAGGTTGCGGCCCTTATCTGACAGTCCGGATACCCTTGCTAAACATTGCCTGACCTGTCAGAGGAATAGAGAGAGCTGGAGGATGGTAACAATGCCATGAGTGTTTGGCTCTACATGTTATGGATTTAAGGACAGAAGAGAGCATGAGGCTTGCCAGGTACAGGAAGCAGCAGGTAGAAAGTAGCATCATGTGGTCTGGGAGAGGAGGCAGAGGGTGCAGGAAGAGGACAGTCCAAGAAGACGGTGCTGGTGGATGTGGGAGAAGGAAATGAATGAGGGCAATTGGAAACCTGTTCGATAAGCTGTTTCCACTCCCAGAAAACAGACCATGTGCTAAAAATGTTACGCCTGGGGAAGAGGGGGAACTACATGTTTGGTACTAGGGAAAAGTTGCCTGCTGCCATGGGAGGAAGGGATTCAGATTCGTGAACCACTCTGGATTTTCCAGGGGGTCTTCTCTTGAGACATATATAGTAATATCGCTTCTGGATGATTGGAGCCAGCAGAAGGAAACTAAATACAGTTTCTTTGGAGATGAGTGTGCCCACATTCAGAATAAATCTTTATGTGAATTTCTGTGACCTTACTACATGTGCAGTATGACAAATCTGTGCCTCTCTTCACAGTTCCTTCCGCTGCAGTCTGGCCCTTCACTGAACTAAGTTGACTACCTCTGTTCTAATTATAGACCATAGGTGGAAGTGGAAAGACCTAGTCATATGGGTTGGTGACATTCTTCCTTCCTCTCTCTCAGTCGCGTGGGGGCATGCCTTGAACCACCTGAACTTAACATTTGTTCCTTATTTGATTGATGCATTTGCAACTCGATCTTCTCTATGAGGAGGCCAGGGTGGGGTGATGAGAGGGTGTCCCCAAGAGGTCTCTCATCCTTTTACTACCCGGGGCCTAGACCACATTAGCTTCAGAGATGGAAATACATCAGACTGCTTCAGCCCGCTCAGGTAGAATTTTCTCGATACTTCTATTGGTTTGTAGCCTGCTGTCGTCTAGTATATGATACCTTTATGATTTGCAGTTGGACTTGTTAGGTGTTCGTTTTTGAAAAGGCACTAGATTTTTATGTTTGTTAGCCTTTGTTCCTTAGGTCAGTTAGCTTTCTTATCTGAATTTTGTAATAAGTAGCTGTTCCCTGGTTCTTTAGAGATATCTAGAAGTAACGTGGATGTTTATCTTTTTCTCCTGCAAAAGAGAGAGTGAAAAGTGACAATTGCAGGAGCTTTAGTTAGCATAGATCTCAACGATGCTTGCTAGATACACCAGTGTCACTGTACTTAGCAGCACCACAGAGAAACTGCCATGTATAAGAATGTAACTGAGCAAGCAGACAAGTATATTGAAAACCAGGATGCTGCTTTGCATTTAGGTGAGGTTAAAAAAACACACCACCTAAAACATCAAGTGTTAGACTTGCTAAAAATATGAATACAGTCATACCCAGTGGGTAGTCCTGGTTATATTTAGATTTTATGCTTGCCTTTATTTTTTAATGACACCTCCAGTGTACCTTCAGTTCTCAGCAATGCACTGCTTCCTGTGTTAGTAGGAAAGGAGGATCAGATCTTGTCAGGTGTCATTTATCATTGCATTGCAAATGGGTGGTTTTTGGGGTAGGAAGAACAAAGCTTAATATAACAGTGAACAGCAAGGGCAAACTCTCTCTCTCTCTCTCTCTCTCTCTCTCTCCCCCCCCCCACCCGGCAAAAAAAGACAACCACTCTCCTTAAACAGTTTGCTCTTTGCAACTGCAGAGTCTTCTCTGATCACCCACGCTCATCTGGCTGCTGACGCTGTAGGAGCTTCATTTGCATGAACTATTTTTGCAACTATTGTGTGTCTTTTGAGGAAACAAGCAAGAAGACTGGCTTGTAGTGATTCACCATCTCAGGGCACCTAAAATGTGGAAGGGAAAAGAGAATAGACGTATGCATGCTGATTTCTCTTAAATGTTTCTGAGTGGCAGAGCTTGGCTCAGCAGCAAGGCACAAGGGCTGCTTTGCACATTGCATGTGAACATGTCACATAGCCATGCAGCATGGGTGTAATTGCATCATATTGCCCTTTCCCATGTGCGCATTTTGGCAGATGTGCCTTTGTCGACAAATAACAAGTAAAAGAGTCCCAAATCAAATATATCTAGTGTAGTTTTTAATATATGATTTGCTTCAGAAAACCAGCATCTAGTTAGATGGAGCAGCATATATAACACAGATGAGCAAACATATACGGATAGTGACCGATTTGCTAGGCTCCAGGCTTTTGCATACATCAGCAAGGCCTGTGTAAGGCCACCCCGTTCCACCCCTTTTTGGTGACATTTTTGGGTCACTTCCAGGCTCAGCATGATGCGTGTGGTTGCTCACATATTGGACGCGCCCAAAATGGTTGCTGCCTGTATGTAAATATTTACGGACAAGCCTGTGATAGAGCCAGTGTAGTGCAGTTGCTAGTATGATGGCCAGGCATTTTGGGACGCTGAAGTTCAAATCCCCACTTGGTCTTGGAACATGCTTTGCAACTTTGGGGAAATCACTTTCTCTAAGCTTAATGAATTGTGTTGTTTTGGTTTTTCTAGCATGGAAGAACTTAAAAATATTCAAGTAATGGAAACTCAGTAAGTTTTGGAGGTAGAATGTACCCTTTTCTACATTTAAAAAGTTTCTCCTGGTTGAGTTTATTCTGCATGTGGAAAAGGATTCTATATGAGCTAATGAGCTGGTATAACTATCTGTGTGTGTTGTGTGTGTATGTGTGTGTGATACACAACCATTCAATCTTTCATGAAGAGCCAGTGAAAAGTCCTGGAAATTACATTCCTACATGGAAAAGCTTGGGAAACAGTGTAGACTGCCAGCTACAAAGCCACAACCACAAGAGACTTATAACCTCTCTCTACCCTGCTTTATTAGCAAATATTGAACATCTGAAATAAAATGTATATGATCTGGTAAAATAAATACTACTCCATCACTGGGAGATCCAAAGAAAGTTTTCACTTTGTTTCTTAATAATGCTTGATGAAAAGAGTAGAATACCAGATCCTCCTCTTATTACAGGTTTGCAGTTTGAGGTCCAAATGTTATACTGCTTGGGGTTGCCTGACTGTCACTTGGAGAACCTTGTGTGTTAGTCAGAATGTTAGATGCATCATACCGGGGCAGACTATTTGAACTGGATACCTTTCCTGCCACTGAGCTATCGTAACCCCCCGCCGCCGCCGCCGCCGCCGCCACCGCCACACACACACTGCTGCCAGGCACAACTGGCAGAAGCAGAGAGACTCTCCATCAGATTGTGACAGTGTGCACAGGTAACTTCTAGTGGATGCTATAGGCACAGCATGCAGCACTTGACTTATGGAGACCTGCTGCATGGAGGCAGATGAACCTCTATAAGCAGGCTGTTCAAAGGTATAGGAACCACTACTAAAAAAGCACTTTTTCCATTAAAGCAATTCAGTTGATAATAAAATTATGGGTAAAACCCATCCATCAAGACAAGCAAAATTACCTCAGTCCCATAAGAGGGCCCAAAACAAAACAAAAAACACACCCAGCTGTGCTAATGGTTGTGAAAGGCAGACATAAAAGTTTTAGGAATTTCTTTAAGTGCTGTCAGGGTGCATTTGATCCCACCTGAGTTAATGTTGAGTTAACCAGCCATGATAAAAATGGGTGAAACGAAGCTTATTAGTGGTACTGATGGTGGCTGTGAATGAATCAGCTTGACTGAGGCCTTCCTGGAACTTAGGCTGTGTAGTGGTGCCCTCCCTGTGGAACGCCCTTCCTTCAGATGTCAAGGACATAAAAAAACTACACAACTTTTAGAAGACATCTGAAGGCAGCCCTGTATTGGGAAGTTTTTAATGCTTGATGTTTTATATTATTACTACTACTACTACTACTACTACATTTTAAACACACCTAGGTTGCTCTCTTAGGGACGTGGGTGGCGCTGTGGGTTAAAGCAATGAGCCTAGGGCTTGCCGATCAGAAGGTCAGCGGTTTGAATACCCATGACGGGGTGAACTCCCGTTGCTTGGTCCCTGCTCCTGCCAACCTAGCAGTTCGAAAGCACCTCAAAGTGCAAGTAGATAAATAGGTAAGGTAAGGTAGGGAAGGTAAACAGCGTTTCCGTGTGCTGCTCTGGTTTGCCAGAAGCGGCTTAGTCATGCTGGCCACATGACCCGGAAGCTGTACGCCGGCTCCCTCGGCCAATAAAGCGAGATGAGCACTGCAACCCCAGAGTCGGTCACGACTGGACCTAATGGCCAGGGGCCCCTTTACCTTAGGTTGCTCTCTTAACCAGGTGGGGATTGAAGCTGGTTTTGGTGGTGGTGGTGGTGGTGGGGAACTCACCCAAATGCAGGACAGATACAGGGTGGATGTGGATTGTGGCTAACATCTTGCATGCTCCACTTCCCATACCAGTGGCTACAGAGTAAATGGGAGTGTGTGCACAGCTTTAGATGGGTAACCTGGTTTCATTGCTGCAAAGTGTGCAGAAAGAATCTCAGGAGTTTCTCCTCCCCCTGTACTGAATAAATGGTTAGAGGGATGGAGAAAGTGGGACGTCTGAAGAGGGAAGATGGGTACCCATCCTGCTGCTGCATTTCCAGATCTTTGAAATGGAGAACTGCCTGAGCGAGGCACACTGTTGCACGTGGGGCGATTCTCTACCCTGTCTTTTGTATTTGACCTGCCTCTTGTTAGATTGCGGTCAGTTTGTTTACCAGGGCAGCTATAGAATTGGCAGGATTCTTGCTGCTTTTGACATTTTCATCACTGTGGCTGACAGAGATATTTGGTAAGAAGGAAAGATGTTATTTCCTTTATTTATGTAATAGCATAGTTATTTTGCTCGTAACCATCTGGCTTTCTTCAGAGTCAGTTCCCTCCCCCAAGCAACTGTGCCTTTTTATTTATTTGGTGCTTGGCTAGTGAGATAATTAATTAGCTTATTAATGAAGCCAGTATTTTGTACATTGCAATTTGAAAATTATTTGTAAGCCAACATCTGTTCTTTATATGAAGCCATGTATTCAGAAACATAATAAGTATGGTGCAAAAATAATTTATTGATTTCTCCCATCCTTTTAAACAGACATTCCTTTTATGACAGGGGTGTGGGGCCTTTTCCCCATTGAGGACATTTTGACTACTGGGAAAACAGAGTTTCAACCAATGGGAGGGGGGGCTGATCTAGATCCAAAAGTATGTGGAGCCAAAGACAAATGTAGGTGGGATTTGCAATGTTGCAGAATTGCATTGCGCTCTCCTTTCTACCTGTTCTCTCTCTCTTCCTCTTTCTCCTCTTCCCTTCCATCTCTCCATCGCTTTAGCCTTCCCCAATTCTCTCTCCCCACTGCCTACACCGACACAGGTAAGAATTGATCTCCTGCAGAGGTCTTTCCCCTCCTCCATCCCTTGTTTATTCTGTCATTTTTGTCTCTCATCCCCCATCCTGGACTCACTATACAGCGGCTTCATTTCCTTATTTAGCGCTGCTGGGGAGGCCAGTGGCAGAGATATTGGAGTTTGTTGACTGTATACTCAAAGGTGTAACATAAAAAGCTATATTGGCTAGGACTTTTTAAAAAAAAACATATTCTTCAGAACAGAAGGTAATGTGTCTGTTCCACCTCCCAAAAAACCCCCCAAACAGTTTCTATTCATTGAAGATGGATAAGCGCTGGAACAATTTTAAAATAGCTCTCCCTCTCTCTCTTTGTGCAAGGTCCATATAGATTTTAAACATTTTCCTAATTATTTTTATTTTGTTTTTTTCTTTCCCTCTAGGAAGCTTCAAGATAGTCATGTACAGTGGAGGCCAAGAAGATGCAGGTAACTTTAAAAACAACAATACTCAAATTAAAGATATCCTTTGCTCTGGCACTAGAACAGGAAAGATTTCAAAACAAAACGAAGATATCCTATCCTTGGTAGCATGTATCATGGCTCTTCTATTTATGTGGAAAACAGGCAGAAACTGTTTAGGTAAAACTTAGACATATGCAGCTTTTGGGGGTTAGATGCCAATGGCCTGATCTAGTAATTGCCTTAGTTGTTTGATAGTTTTGCATATTCTGCATTCAAAGACTTGCAAAGAATCTTGCTAGCTGCAGATCTTCCACAAACAGGCTGGCCCTGGATGCTGCTGCATAAGTTGTAAGGACCAAACTAGACTAATGTATGGGCTGAATTCCTGGTATATTAATTTTTTACATGTTAAATCATATATTAGGGTCTCTGAATTGGAACAGAGCGGCTGTGGGCTAACTGCAGTTTGTAGGGGATTTAGACTGGAAATAGAATCCGCAGTGGAAAGGGTCTAGTTTGGTGCCCCCTGCTGCTGCTTTTCAGTAAAATTTCAAAACATCAAAAGATCACTGCATGGATCTGTATGTCACACGTAGGTTGGACCTAGCATGACCTAATCTGTGTGGATATGAGTAGGGAGCCACAAGAACAAGATTTGCATATGCATATCTTGTAATCACCTTCCCTTAAAAGCCAACGTCTGGCAGGACACAAAGCTTCTCCTTCCTACTTTGTGAGCCGGTAGGTATACCCTCTAGAATCAAAGGACTTAAGCTGACTACTTTCAGCAGGTCTATTCAGAGTATCTTTTAGTTGGTTGTTATCTCCCATAGTCCCTTCCAGCACTATATCATTTTGCTGCTTCTGACATGAGGTAGTCCTGCTGCCCATCACAATTACTGCTATTGTTCCACAGATAATATATGCTTACTGGTGTGGTTTCCAATTCTGTGTCCAGGGCAGCTGTCTACCAGCTCCATCTGGTATGCAGGCTGAGACCCTACCTGCCCACGGACTGTCTCGCCAGAGTGGTGCATGCTCTGGTTATCTCCCGCTTGGACTACTGAAACACACTCTACCTGGGGCTACCTTTGAAGGTAATCCAGAATGTGGCAGCTAGACTGGTGACTGGGAGCGGCCACCGAGACCACATAACACTGGTCTTGAAAGACCTACATTGGCTCCCAGTACGTTTCCGAGCACAATTCAAAGTGTTGGTGCTGACCTTTAAAGCCCTAAACGGCCTTGGCCCAGTATACCTGAAGGAGCATCTCCACCCCCATCGTTCAACCCAGACACTGAGGTCCAGCGCCGAGGGCCTTCTGGCAGTTCCCTCACTGCGAGAAGCCAAGTTACAGGGACCCAGGCACAGGGCCTTCTCGTTAGTGGCACCTGCCTTGTGGAATGCCCTCCCATCAGATGTCAAAGAAATCAACAACTACCTGACATTTGGAAGACATCTGAAGGCAGCCCTGTTTAGGGACGTTTTTAATGTTTTAATGTATTTTTAATCTTTTGTTGGAAGCCACCCAGCGTGGCTGGGGAAACCCAGCCAGATGGGCGGGGTATAAATAATAAATTGTTGTTGTTGTTGTTGTTGTTACAATCTATGTCATTTCATTTTTAAAACAAAAACCCAAACAAACATATTTTTGTGTGCAACTTCACAAACTTCCATTCGAGCCATTGCTTGTTTGTTTTTAGGATTTTCTCCATATATTGTCTGCACAGATAGGTTGAGTGGAAGCACTGTTTCTTAATAGACATATTTGGTGGTATCAGGCCAGAGCTAGACATTGTGGAAGCTGCATTGTTATTGCTGTAAACAGTGGTCCTTGGTCTCTCCTTCCTCTGTAGCATCTAGCGGTATGATGTTGTGAGCTTTTTGGCACCTCCAAGCAGCTGTTATCAAGTGGAAGCAAGGTTCAGGAAAATCAGAGCTCAGTAACGCTGTATCACACACTTTCCATTTTATTTTCATTTTAAAGAAAATCCTTATTACATTTATATCCCACCTTTTTTCCAAAGAGTTCAAGGTTGTGTTCATGGTCCCCCCCCCCTCCATATTATCCTCACAATATCCCTGTGAGGTAGGTTAGGCTGAGAGTTGGTGACTGGCCCAAGGACACCCATGAGACTTCATGGCTGAGTGGGGAGTTGAACCCTGATCCCTCAGGTCCTAGTCCAGCACTCTAACCACTGCACACCACATTGGTTTGTTGAATAACATGAGGAAAAAAGGAGGAAGAGATGGGAGATGGCTGCTTTCAGCAACAACCAAGTGACTCAGAGAACATCTAGTTCCAGCCTCATTCACTCAATTGAATGTTTCTTAAGTATTTTGTTGCATTAATCTCTCTCTTTTAACTTTCTCTCTTACAGACTACTGCATCTTTTTGGGAGGAATGTCTAGAACCCTGCTTTAGTTGACGAGCAAATATATCCCCCTGGATCATTCTTCTTCTGAACCCTTAAAAACCATGGATAATGTTCAAATGCCACAGCAAGTCTTGATGGATGTATAATAAAACTGTTCAGAGACACTTCCTGCCATGAACAGAACTGTGTGACAATTAACCTTTTTTTAGCATAGAGCTACGAAAGATCTAATGCCTATAAGACTACTGCGTGGACCGTTCCACAGAGAAAGAGAAGTCTGTGAACTTGGAACAGCTCTGGAGAAATGGGAGCAACTTAACTTTAAAAAAGCACAGCACTGGAGAAACTTCATGTGCCTGAACAGCTTTCGAGTGAACTAGCACTTAAGACCTTGCGCGACAAAATGGACTCCGGAGATACAGCTGTAGGGCAAAATGCTACCTCAAGGTCTGGAGAAACAGCTAAAGTACCAAGTAGATGGAGGCAGGAACATTCGGCTAATGTTAAGATGAGCGCACTTGGCAGCCTGGAAGGACAGTCACAAAGGGACCCGGAACACATGGGGGACCCAGCATCTGCACAGCTTTTCAGTTCTGGGAAAGGAGTGTCATCTAGCGACGTTGCCCAGCAAGCCACAGACAAGCAATACCCGCAGCACCTTCAGAGTCCTTACTCATGTCAACATTCGCTTTCTTTCCCTCAGCATTCATTGCCACAAGGATTCCTGCACAACCTGAAGCCGCATCAGCGCCTAGAAGGCCACAAATGGCAGTTTCCTGGCCACCTGCAGCCGGTTGCCTCCGAGGACTTGTTTCCATTTCACGTGCATGGCCATAGCGGAAGCTTCTCCAGGAAGAAGATTTCGAGTCTGAACCCTGCTTATAGCCAGTATTCTCAGAAGTGTATAGAGCAACAGTCGGAAGATGGTCATAAGAAAGAACACAAACCCAAAAAGCCTGGCAAATACATTTGCCCGTACTGTAGCCGGGCTTGTGCCAAACCTAGTGTACTTAAGAAACATATTCGGTCTCACACTGGGGAGCGTCCGTACCCTTGTGTCCCTTGCGGCTTCTCGTTTAAGACAAAGAGCAATTTATACAAGCACAGGAAATCGCATGCCCATGCGATCAAAGCGGGATTAGTACCTTTCACAGAGTCGGCTGTATCTAAATTGGACCTAGACGCCAGTTTTATCGACGTGGAGGCAGAGATACATTCAGATGGCGAGCAGAGTACAGATACTGACGAAGAGACTTCGTTATTTGTCGAAGGTTCTGACAAACTGAGCCCCGTTCCGCAGATTCCATTGGACATCGGTAGCAGAAGTGGCTTTCACTCATCCATAGAAGAATCCCTGGGAGGCCCAATGAAAGTCCCCATTTTGATTATTCCCAAAAGTGGCGTGCAGTTACCATGTGAAAGCTCCCCACACATTGGATCTGACAATCTGCAGAACACATTAATTAGTAAGTCTGATGACTCTCACACAGTTAAGCAGCGACTTGCACTAAGACTATCTGAGAAAAAAGGGCAGGATTCTGAGCAGTCATTAAATCTCTTGAGCCCCCACAGCAAAGGAAGTACTGACTCTGGTTATTTTTCGCGCTCAGAGAGTGCCGAGCAGCAAATAAGCCCACCAAATACAAATGCAAAGTCTTACGAAGAAATAATCTTTGGAAAATTCTATAGGATTAATCAAAGGATGGCACAACCTTTAGCGACAGCCAATCAGGATCGTAGCTCGATGGGTAGAAAAGGCAAGGCAGAGCCCCTACCTCTCACAAACCCTAGATTAGAAATGAAGATGCTTGAAGAGCGAATGTCTCCAAATAAAGAAGCACTAATTGATCCTAGCAAAATGAGCACTATAAAAAGTAGCCAAGTCTTTAACGACAGCAGTATGGAATCCAAACAGTCTCAGAATGTCACATCATCCATCAAAAGTGAATCAAGCCTTTATCCAGGAAGCCACCCAAGTGATTCATCTCTCCTAGAGCCTCCAGCAGATACAAACCCGCTTATTAGAAGCAACTCCATGCCGACGTCGTCTGCAACCAACTTGAATGTCCCTTCAGCTTTAAGAGGAAGCCATTCATTTGACGAGAGGATGACTGGTTCCGATGATGTGTTTTACCCCGGGACAATAGGAACACCCCACCAGCGCATGCTTATACGACAAGCGGCCTTTGAGCTGCCATCACTGCAGGAAGGACACTCAGATTCAGAGTACCATGGGAGAATAGCAAAGAACATTATGGTTGCTTCCAGCAGGTCAACCGTGGGAGAAAAAGGGTCGGGCATGAAGAAGTTGCTAACAGGGGAGAGGCCCTTTTACGAGGGGGACGCCTCTGGGAAGCACTACAGGAAATGGGAAGATTATGGGCCTTTGAAGCAAAGCTATAGAGACACACCATCTCTGAGCGGGTCAAAGCAAGGGGGAGAATTTTATCCTGAATCATCTGCACAGTTGCAGGCAGTGTCTTCTACATATAGCATTACCTTTGAAACTAGAAAGCGCAGAATACAAAAGAGTGTTGGAGATGAGGAAGACACTCCATCCTTGTGCAGCGGTGCTTCCGGCAGCCCCATGAGTGGCGATTTTGATCCTAAATTACAAATCCAGGAAGGGCCAAGGACCAGATATGCCGTCCAAAGCCACGACAGTTCTGTGCACTCTCACCCAGACCGCTTTGAAATTTGCAGACCCCACCTGCAGTCTGGAAGCCCAGCCACAAGCTTAGAAGAATGCTCCTTGACAAGCGATCAAGAAAAGGCTTCGGAGTCCCTGAGCAGAAAAGGCAACGTAATCTCTGTCATTCAACACACAAATTCATTAAGCCGGCCAAACTCGTTTGAAAGGTCTGAATCTACAGAGCTTGTCGTTTGCCAGCAAGATAAGATGTATTCGTCGTCTGAGACTTGTGAAAGTGAGATTGCAGATTCCCCAATGAGCCCGGATAGGGTCCCGCAAACGGAAACCGCTGACAGCATTGTTTGCAAGCAGCCTTCTTCGTCCCAACATTCTCAGTCATATCACATGCAGCCCAGGCTTGTTCGCCAGCATAATATACAGGTACCTGAAATCCGCGTGACGGAGGAGCCTGATAAACCCGAGAGAGAGAGGGAAGCCCCAGCCAAAGAGCCGGAGAAGCCTGCAGAAGAGTTCCAGTGGCCACAGAGGAGCGAAACCCTTTCTCAGCTGCCGGCCGAGAAGCTACCTCCGAAGAAGAAACGCTTGCGGCTGGCTGACTTGGAGCACTCCTCTGGAGAGTCCAGCTTTGAGTCCACAGGGACGAGCCTTTCTCGGAGCCCTAGCCAAGAGAGCAATTTGTCCCATAGTTCCAGTTTGTCCATGTCCTTTGAGAGGGAGGACAGTATCAAGTTCGTAACGTCAACAAGGCAGGATGAGTTTGGCAAACAGTCTGAGTTTTTAACCGTCCCAGCTGGCAGTTACTCACTCTCTGTCCCTGGGCATCACCAACAGAAGGAAATGAGGCGCTGCTCGTCCGAACAGATGCCCTGTCCCCACCCTGCCGAAATCCCTGAGATCCGAAGCAAATCCTTTGACTACGGGAATCTGACTCATGCTTCGGCAGTAGGTCTGCCTCCTACCTCTTTATCTCCAGCAAGAGAAAGGAAAAAATGCTTTTTGGTTCGCCAGGCTTCTTTCAGTGGTTCTCCGGAGATTTCCCAAGCTGATCCAAGCATGGAACAAAATATAAAGCAAGAGCAAATGGAGCACGGGCATGCCGGCCTTCGGTCTTCCCATGTGGCTTGGCCTCTTTCCCCCTCTTCTGTCCAATTGGATGACTCCGGGAAGCAGTCTGCTGGTTCTTGTCCCCCACGCAGCACTAGTTTATCTCCACTTTCCCATTCCTCAATCCCGCAAGCACCTTATATTCCAAGCAAATACTCAACAGAACAGCAACATCTATTTGCACTGCAAGAAAAGGTTCCCTTTCTCCCCTTCCAGAACACGTTGTTGCAGTTTCCGTATCCGTCAGTCTGCATGGTTCACTTGCCCTCTCAGCCCCTGTGGCCTTCGGAACACTCTCAGTCCCCCTTTCCGCATCATTTTGTACAGCAGCTTCAGAAAACTTACTCCAAGCAACCTTTCTCAACTGAAAGCCACCCTGGTTACCCCCTGGAATATGCTCAGGAGCATATCAGAAAGAAAACTGCTGATTATGTCCATGCTAAAGAGCAAACCTACCAGCGTTACTCAGGAACATCAGGACAGTATTCTAAAAATGCACTTGCAACATACCAGCCCGATTGTAGCATTAAATCAACCGATACCTCTTCTGAACAACAGCTACAGGTGGATTTTGAAACCCAGAATATTGGGCCTGCCCAATCGTTACCGGGCACAGTTGTTCCCGTCAGGATCCAGACCCACGTGCCATCCTATGGTAGTGTTATGTACACAAGCATTTCCCAGATTCTTGCTCAGAGCAGCAGCCCTGCCATTGTCATTTGCAAAGTCGACGACACTCTTTCTCAAAGGACATTAGCCACCAGTGCAACCATGCACGGCATAGGATTCAACATAGCGCAGATGTTAGGCCAGCATGGAGGGTTGTGGAAAGTACCGCAGACCTTGTCCCTGAACTTAGATCCTTCCATCCCATTGTGCTTAACCTCCAGCTCAGATAGTGCCTCTACCCTAGGCGGAAACAAGCGAATGCTTTCACCGGCAAGCAGCCTGGAGCTCTTCATGGAAACCAAGCAACAAAAGAGAGTAAAGGATGAAAAGATGTATGGGCAGATTGTCGAGGAGCTAAGTGCTGTAGAACTCACCAGTTCGGACATAAAGAAGAGCTTCCCCAGACCTCAAAAGCCTCAGCTGGTTAGGCAGAGCTGTACTACTGAGCCAAAAGAAAGTGTGCCGTCCTCTCCGTTGCCGTCCTCGTCATCTCAAGATTCGCCAGCTACCAACATGCCTTCCACTGAGCTTTCCCCAGTAAGCAGGGAGAAGCTCCCTAGCTTTGACTCTGCTTCTCCAGGGCAAAAGTCTAGTGGTACCTCGGAAGGCCGAGAATCCCCAGAAGAACTGGACGTAGATGAAGCATCATCTGACATGAGTCTCAGCCCCACCAGGTTGCCATCAGCGGAAAGCCAGATAGAAGACGAACCCAAGCAACAGAAATTGCCGTTTGGTATGTTGGTACAAATGGCATCGCAGCCAAGTGGGAAAGCGGTGACTTCAACAATTCTCCTGACAGATCTCGCAGACTTCCAGCAAATCCTACAGTTCCCTAGTTTGCGCACTACCACAACTGTGAGCTGGTGCTTCTTAAACTACACAAAGCCTAGTTTTGTCCAGCAAACAACCCTGAAATCGTCTGTTTATGCTTCATGGTGCATTAGTTCTTGTAACCCAAACCCATCAGGATTGAGTACGAAGATTACCCTTGCACTCCTACGGTCCAAACAGAAAAACAGCACGGAAATCTATACACTGGCTCCAATGTATAGGCCCGGAACAGGGAAACTGACATCATCAAGTGCATGGAAACAGTTTGCTCAGGTAACTAACCAATTCTTAAAGATTCACCCTTTTTTTAGACCTTACAGTATACAGCAAACCGAGATGCTTTCAAGTCTTTTCAGTGTAATGCTTTTGGAATAGTTCCTCTAGAGTAATGAATACCTTTCTTTGGAATGCAAATTCTGAGGGGATTTCTCAGGAAGCAGGAGCAAACACGGATGTGGCATCCTGGACATGGATCTCACCCCTGAATGATTTCAACACTTTCCAAGTATATTCAGAAATTGTTCCAAAGCCGCTCCCTTGGAGAGAGGGAGAGAGCCATTAAAACTGGCTTGTTATAAAGCATAAAAATCAGAAAAAATGAGTACATCTGGTATTTCAGAATGTGTCAGAAGATGTACTTATTATAGATCATCTTCTAACCAGAATGCAACGAACCTATATAAGTGCCTCATACTCTGAGAGAGAGATGTGGCCTCTGTTTATTTTTTTTAAACACTGTTGTCTCTTTGTATATCATGGTGCCTTCGGATAAAATTCATGGCTTTGAAAAACTGGTAAATCTAGACAACAACTTTGGAGGCCCTAGTTTCCGTGTTCATTTTCTCCAGTGTTTTTAATACCTCTTGGTTAAAATATGAATAAATGAAAATTAGACAGGAGCTTCTAGGTTCTTGCCAAAAGTTAATGCTGTATGAAAGATAAATCTGCATGTCCTAGTCATGGGCTTTAGAAACTTTGAAGCTATCGACTATGGCTGGAAAAACATGTCCAGCTCAAGGCACCAGCCTTTTTTAAAAAACAAACCAAAACATTGTAGGTGACAATCCTTTAAAAGCCCAAATAAATTAGATAATGAGGCTCTAGCATCAAATGTGGAATGGCCCAGGATATTTCCAGCCCTGACATGACTATACTATTCCTCCTAGTTAGAGCACATGGTTGTTTCCCAAGAAGTTGTGGATTTATGTCTCAGCTATGAATGAGTACCTAATGCTTTGGGTTGGGGAGATCAAAGGCAGATGGACATGGGTTGTTGCCACATCACTGCCTTTTGAACTGTAGGCAGAGAAACTAGTGTGTCTTAACCACACCAACCCCGATGGGCCAGATGGCTTTGAGCAGACTGTGCCTTGAAATCCCAGTGCTAGCAGTGGACAGATTTTGATCGCCTAGTAAGTCTTCTTTATCTTTCCTTTTTTGTGTTTATATGGCGGCATGATGTGGTGTTGTGCTTACAGCATCCCTGGGCACTTCAAAAACTTTCCTCTGCTGCCTCTTGCCTATCTTGTTTATTCCTTGACAAAGTCAAAGGGCCAGTTTAATTGGCTTTTCTGAGCCTGAGCATGATGTAAGGTCTAAGTATGTCCTAAAGCATTTACAGTAATATGACACAATGCAGTTACTCTGTTTACGTTTGTGGCATTGATTCCGAGTTTCAAGCATTAACAACAATTAGTGACTCTGTGTTGTTGTTTTTCCATTTCACAGATGAAACAGGAGCCGTTCTTCCTATATGGCAGCAAGTTTGAAAAGAAAGTAGCAGGGAATGTTATCAAGGAAAGAATTAAAGGAGACAGCCATGGTGATAAAGATATCGTATCCAAACAGACTGAGCCAATGCGAATTAAGATTTTTGAAGGAGGGTAAGAACATACATTTGGAAATATCATGTGTGTTCTGTTATTTTTTAGAACAGATTTTTAGGGTTCATGCAAGCAGCTTGTGCTAGGTCCAATATCATGGTCTTGAGTCCATGTGATGGGGCAAGTGAACTGAGGTGAAACAGGTCTGGATCTCATCATTACCTGGCTGGACAACTGCTGAAAATTGGGATATTGCACCATGAATTAAGGGAGTAAAGGCGAGAAATTAAAAATCCACTGGAATTCTTGTTTTTTCCCCCTTCTTCTTCTTTAAATAGTTGAGCCATCAACCACCTTTGACTTTTGAAACTACTATCAGGCATTGACAGGATGGGAGAAATTGCCCTGTCATGAAAAGGAATCTAAAATTCTTTAGATTGGACTTATGGAAAAAAATCTAGAGGTTGTTTGAATCCCAGTTATTCTTTTGTAATTTTGAAATATGCCATTTGTAAGTTACTTTTTGCCTTTATAAATAAGGATTTAGGTAGACAGTGGTCTTACAATAAAACATTTGTATGGCAAAACAATGCAAAAATGCATGCTACCAGTGAGTTAAAGCAACCATACAGAATATAACAAAGAAGATGGAACTAAATGCATTCTGAATGCCCTTTAGGTAAAAGAGCAGGGTCACATGCTAATAAACAAATAACTCCTATGATTTCCCTTGATATGTACTATTCATTAAACTGTTGACAAGATCCATTAATGTATTTCCTCTATAGATTGACTCTGATTCCAGTAAACATTAAACGATGCATTGCTTTAAATTAAGCATCAACATTTGCCCTTCCCAGTCATATATGTACACTAGCAGTCAGCTTGCTTTTTGGTATTTGGTATTTTCCAAGACATTCCTCAACAGACAACTTCCTATTATTTCTCCAGTTCTGCTGCTACTATTTTAACTGCAGTCAACACATTTCCCACCAGCTCCTCCTGTGTCTTATTTAAACACTTCCTTATACAATTTCAAAGGATAACTTGTAGACAAAAGTCTTTGCTCCATTACTGCCCAAGTAAATTTTAATACTAACTCCCCCCCCTTGTTCTTCAGAAATATTTTAAAATAAAGCATATTGAACTAGTTCAGATGTATGAGAACAGTTCTCAGCTCTGTCCTTCCCATCCAATACAACCATGAGGAGGAGTTTTGAAGCATCCATATATCTCTATTTTTAAAAAACTAGCTACAGCTTGCTGTACCATCCAAACCCAGGAAACTGTAGTTAGTCTTAACTGTGGTTTACTAAAATGGAAGGATTCACATGGCTTAGCATATTAAGAACAAGCAGCAGGGGGCCTTGGACTCGTAGGCTACCCCTTTTCTCTTCTCTCCAGCATGGCCATGAGCAGATTTCGCTTCTATTTTAGATTAACTACAGTTTAGGGTTTGGATGTAATATTGAAATGGTTAATCTTAAAGATGGAGGCAGCTTCTGAAACTATGGTTTGAAGTTCACTTATCTTCTGGAAACTTCTAGATCAGCAATGAGCTTATTCTTTTACAAGCTCGCTTAGTGTGCCTGGTTGATGCAAGCTGTCTTGTTATCATCATTCAAACAGCATTAGCCACTGATAGGTAGCATGATTCAAATGAAGACATTTGAATAGCAAAATTTGCTTTCCATGACCTGCAACTCCAAATGCCAAGAGGATTTCAGAAGCCATCTTTCAGGAATTCACTAATTTAGTAAGCTCAGTTGACACTGTTCTGAATTCTGCAGATCATCCAGTGCCATCCAAAAGAATCAGCTCTGGCAAATAGGAGAGACGTAGAGTTGTTTTTTTAAGAGTAAGGAGGTTAGTCTGTGACATTTTATGGGAGAAGGAAAATTCAGAGTATCATACTGATGGGGTCTTAGCTAGTACAACAATAAAAATAACATACGTATCATGAAGATTAAAAAAAAAATAGTTACAATTCTAGCACCTGACTTAGGAGTCAGATCAGATTCTCCCTTTTAGTGAATGTCTTGAAAGTAAAGGCTCTTGGTTATTTCTGTACTGCTCCCTCATAAAATACCCAGGTAAGGCACAACTATAAAACGTAAAACACCATAAAAATGCACGTGATAATAAAAGTGATGGGCTAAATCAATTTATACAACTGCACAGGCCCAGCAGCATAAAAAGGTCTTCAAGAGATGCCTAAAAGTCAAAAGTAAGGATGCTGGAAGAGTGTCCCACTGCATAGGCCTGGGGGCGCTAAATGCCCCACTTCTAGTGAATGCCACTCACGCCTTCATAACAAAACTCTCCCTGATGATCTCAGTGATCAAACTGAGATATAAGGGCTCAGGTGGTCCTTAATGGACCCTAGACCCATGTTTTTTCAGGGCTTTTTATAGCAACACAAAAACCTTGACTCTGGTCTGGTAGGTTATGGGTAGCCTGTGCAAAGGTTTTAGCAGAGGTGTCATATGCCATCAGCCACGTGCTCCCATCAGCAGCCCAGCCGCCATGTACTACACCAGCTGGAGCTTCCAGGCCAAGCCGAAGGATAGCCCTACAGAGGGCTTTGGTGCCAGGCTTCATGAGAGTAGCATTTTTTGGTTCCCAATCTTGCAAATGCTCAGTGCTTTATTTATTTTGCAATCTTGCAAATGCTCAGTGCTTTATTTATTTAACAGTACCTTGTTGATTTTCTTAGTGGAGCCATGTGTAGTAGCCACACAATGTGACCTAAAACTAAAGATGCTGCTGTAAGGTACTGGCTGTGTATCTGGATGCTTAAAAGCACCATTTTGATATTGCCTTTCTTCCAACAGGTATAAATCCAACGAGGATTATGTATATGTCAGAGGACGAGGGCGTGGAAAGTACATTTGTGAAGAATGTGGGATTCGCTGCAAGAAGCCAAGCATGCTCAAAAAACATATCCGAACTCATACAGACGTACGGCCTTATATATGCAAGTTGTGCAATTTTGCCTTCAAAACAAAAGGTACTTAGTCGTTCTTACTCTGGGGCGGTGGGGGTGGGGTGGTCTGTTCTTGGCTCTCTGCCAACCATCTTTCCAAATGCAAAGGTGGTTTTCTTAAAGCAAGGTGGTTTTATTTATGAAAACGAGACCTCTTGAAATGCAACTTTCCCCTCTTTATCTAAGTGATTCAAGGATTTATGTGAGACGGAGAGCCACTCTGTATAACTTAATTAAGAAATATGGGCTTCTGCCCAGCCCATCTGTCTGCAAAGGAAATGTAGTGGCATAAAATTTAAAAAAACTGCCTTGGCAAACATTACTTTTGTGCTCCAAATGTTATGGTGCAAGTATTAATTACATTAGGGGATTGTACATTTGCAGTGGCACATTGCAGAAGCAGAACATTAGCTGCAGGGCAGAGAATTCCTGATCTGCGTTTATGGTGGGTCAGTTTCACATTGATAAATAATGCAGAAATCCACAGACTCCAGGTGGGCCACTCCATCCACAGTGGTATTAATTATGGATTGAGATCTGATAGCTTGTGTTCACATGTACTTACCAGCTCAAGAGAGGGGGTGGTGGTAGAGAAACTTCCATTTGTCAGCCTGAGGCATTACATATAGCAGTACTCATTGGCGCAGAATTTCCCATGGAACCAGATCCTAAAGGGATATTTCACTGGCATTTTCTTTTATTGTGTACATTCCCTAAATCTTGGCCAAACCCTGCTTCTGATGTACCTCTTAGCCATGGTGATGTTCTAGTGTGTGTGCACGTATTGCATGAAAGATGCAGGTCCTTGCCGGTTTTGCAGCCGTAATATGACAGTAGCTGCTTTGGTGGCCCTGGTAGATGTCTCTGGGCTCCAACTCTCATAATCACCTTACGATTCAAAGATGGTGGATAGTTTGCAGTCAGGAACATTGCCCTTCAGAAGTACATGTGTGTTTGGGAGGCTGCTGTGTTTCTTGATGGAGACAGTAGCTACTGCAGCAGCCAATAATTTCTTTAACACTGCCGCAGCTGGGGCTGACCAAGACCTGGTTTCCATCATTCATTTTATTAAATTAATTGTACTTATGCCCTAACTTTCCAATATAGGCCTCACAGCTCCAAATAAATAAATGCTCTCTATACTGCATCTACTCTGGGTAGATTGCAAAATAAATAAACAAAAATGAATAGCACGCTAAAACTCTAAATGCTACCTAAATTCTGGCTGTACATTTTTGAGGCGTTACCCATGACAACGAAGAACCGAGGTGAGGCTGAAAAAAAAACCTAATATAATTCTTTGTGCACTCAAATTCTCAGGCAAATATGGTTATGGATTGTATTTCAGTAACAAATTGCAAAGGGGTGGCTGTGCTAGTCTGTTGCGTCAGAATCAGCAACAGCTCTTGTGGCACTTCTAAGCATATCGAGTCATTATTGTGTAAGGTTTCGTGAGTCTGTAGAAGTGAAGTGTGTGATGAAGCCCACTTTTGTCCACAAAAGCTTGTGTGGTCATAAGAGACTCCCCAAGTCTCTTCCTGAATTGTATTTCAGCCACCATAGCTAGAAGATAGGGGCTGAAAATCAGTGCTGCTGTTCTGCTTGCAGAGTGGCTTTGATTCAGCAGAGGCATCCCCTAACACAACTGAAAGGGAAGTAACCATCTTAGAAACTTCTGCAGCCCACTGTGTCACCTTCTGCCACATTATTCTGGAAAGTCACACAACCATCTGGAAACTAATTTTCAGAAGTTGAGGGGGATCTGCAGGGGAAAGAGGGACAAAAATCGCCTTCCCTTCTCTTATATTACCTTTGCAGAATTAAAAGCCATTCTGCACGTGGAAAGGCAGCATCAGAATTCACCCCAGTCTGGTCTTAAATCATTCCTAGATTGTCCCTTGGTGCTTTGTCTTTTAAAGGCCCTGTTTTGGGGCCTTGTATTAGTATCCGATGCAAACAACTGAGTGGCAATCCTTCCCAGCATGTTTGCATTGGCTAATCACCAACGGATTGTAAGGATGATGCTAAACACGATCGAAGTATTAGGGTTGTCTGAGCAGCACAGTAAAATGAAGATAGGCTAAACATTCCTGAGCACCAGGACTAAGAATACCAGCACCTAAGAATATACATGCAAATACTGTATATGCAATTACTCTTGCTACAATGGCGTTCAAATTGAGTGGCTATGTTCCATCTGTCTGTCCAGTTTATTTGTTCTCTGTCTAGTTGGGGGGGGAGGAGACTGCATAACGCCAACAAGTTTCCCCATCCCCAGTGCCATCTAATTAGTGTCATCTTTCCACAGGAAATCTGACAAAACATATGAAATCTAAAGCACACATGAAAAAATGCCTGGAGCTGGGGGTATCTATGACATCGGTGGATGATGCTGAAACAGAAGAAGCAGGTATGTCACAATGAGTTCAGTGACTTGCTGTGGCCTTTGCAGTATGCAAATGACGCATCACATTTTATCACTTGCTGACAAGAGAGGATGTGTTAAGAATCCCCCCCCCCCCAATTTTCTCATGTCAACACAAAGCGTCGAAACAATTTTGACATTTTTGTCTGAGGCTTACAGAGTGTAGGGTTTCATTGATTCTGAAAATGGCTTCCCTGCCCCCTCCCCATCCCAAATGGAGTATAAACGTTGGTTGTAGCACGCAGAATATTCTTAAAGGTTGACATGCAAACACATTCCCAATTAGCGTGAAAACATTCTGTACCTCGCAAGCTGTATGAGACCTGTCCAAGCTGTATGTACAAGGTGATAATGGGCAGAATTTTTCTGCAAACTGCGGAATCCAGATTATACTCCTGTCAGTTTGATACATCCTTGGCCACTTGAGAATCCTAGTTCCTAAATCTGTTGGGAGGGAAAATCTTAATTTAGGCCTCATGCCTACAGAGTAAATCTTTAATAGGTAAAGAATTGAGATGCCAAGCTCAGATTGTCTAACTGTGCAATCCTAAACATGTCTACTTGGAAGTAAGTCCCACTGAGTTCACTGAGAGTTACTCCCAGGTGTGTAGCCTTTCAAGACCCTGTAAGTGCTATTTTGTCAAACCCCAACCAGTCACCATGTGACTTGGGTTCTCATCCTACCCTGCAGAAGTTTTAGAGAGTCATAGAAAACAATGGTATTTTAGTGCTTGATTGTGACAGCTGCTTTGTGTGTGGGAAAGCTGTATGGTCAAGTCTGGAAGTATGTCTCTGACTTATGCTCTTTTGACTTTTCACAATTGTTTCAGAAAATATGGATGACACACAACACGAAGTCAAGAAGAGCAGCATGGGTGGCTCGTCAACAGAGCACCAGTTCTCTGATGCTGAGGAATCGGATGGAGATGATGGAGAGGACAATGATGATGATGATGATGACGAGGATGATTTTGATGACACCCTTGGAGATTCAACACCCAAAACAAGATCCCGAAGCACTAGCCCCCAACCCCCAAGGTTCTCCTCATCTGTGAATGCTGCTACAGCATCCTATGGGGGTTCTCCTGACAGTTCAGTGGGACATTCATCCTTGATAAGTTATCTGGTCACTTTACCAAGCATTCAGGTTACTCAGCTCCTCACACAAAGTGACACTTGTGATGATTCACAGATGACAGAATATCAGAGGTTTTTCCAGAACAAAAGTACAGATTCAGAACCGGACAAAGATAGACTTGACATACCTTGCTGCATGGATGAAGACTACATTGTTTCTTTGGAGTCCAACTCTCCTAGAGACTTTTCATCTTCCAGCCGACAGTCCTCACCTGGGTATGATTCTTCACCGTACAGAGATAATTCGCCAAAGAGGTATTTGATGCCCAAAGGAGATTTGTCACCTAGAAGGCATTTATCACCAAGGAGAGAGATTTCGCCCATCAGACACGTATCACCGAGGAAGGAAGCTGTACTGAGGAGAGAGTTATCACCACGGAGAGATGTGTCACCAAGACGCCATCTATCACCAAGGAGACCCATGTCACCTGGAAAAGATGCATCCTCCCGAAGAGATCTGTCTCCACGAAGAGAGAGAAGGTATATGGCCTCAGTTAGAGCAGCATCACCCCGAAGAGGGTTGTACCATAACCCAACGTTGCCCATGGGCCAGTATTTGCAGTCGGAGTCAGTTCCATTGGGACAGTCGGTGAGTTGAAAAGAACATGGTAATCCAAAATGTGAACTTCATTTATCTGATAGTGTTCTGTAACTATGAGTGGTTGGCATAAGCAAAGCATAAAGCAGAGTTGTGTTATGTATTCTAGTCAGAGGTACAATGGATGAAAGGGGCAGTGATTTGTACAACAGAACCTTATGGAAGAGTCACTGGCAGGCCACAGTGAGTGCCGAAAACCATGTGGCAGAGACAACTAATGGAAGGATCAACAGGGGTCCCCTTAACAGCATCCTGGTAGTCCTGTTGCAATTGTTGGGAGCTGAATAGTTCCCCCCAAAAAAACCCTTCTCCCGTGTCCCATGTTAAAATGACTCTAGACCTTATCGTTCTTTCCATCGGCAAATACCAGAAAAAACATCCATGTATATAGGCAAATGAAGGTTCAGTGTGCCTTGACTTGCTGGCTTTTGTCTGGAAAGAACATTGAAGATGAGTTGTAGTCCAAAACATCATTGGATCTGAACTCTAGAATCATAGAGTTGGAAGGGGCCCTTATGATCATCTCCAACCCCTGTAATGCAGGAATATGTTGCTTTCCCTTACGGAGATCAAACCTGCAACCTGGAGGACAGCAGGTTGGCAATGGCTGATTGAGATTAACTTCCTCACCCCCTGCTTCTCAGGAAAGGGTCCCAGGAAGGGCAAACCAGGAGATAAACTCTCAAGATCCTTCCTAGAACAAGCTAGTACAGCTGCCCTTCTATCTTCTGTCTGTTTTGTTCTCCACAATTAGGATTATTCCCTGTGGATGCAAAGAATTGAATTTGGACGCACAAGAGTAGCAATTTTTGAACCATTGAATGGGCTTCCTGATGCATTTAAGCACTCCCACAGACCTAAATATTATTGCCTTCAGTTATCTTAGGGGGGAAGAAGAAGGCAACAACTGAAAACCAATCACCATTGTTACTGTCACATAAAGGAAAGGGGTGCATTGCCTCTAATTAACCAGTCAACTATTTTGGCCTCAGCTGTTTTCCTCCTCCTTCTCAATATTACATTACAAGAACTGACAAATAGAGGAAAACAAAGAATAGGGGAGATGTCTGTGTTTCTGCAGATCTATCAACATTGCTTTCACATGTGTCTGAGCTATTGACATTTGTTTATAAGCCTAGCCTTTGTGTGTGATATTTCGGAAAGTGAATTTAAAATGTATAAAGAGGGCATGAATTATAGTATTTGCTCTGCGGAGCATCTTATAGTTGTGGCAATTTGCTCTAGATGGCAGAGTGGCAAGGTTTTGTAGCCACAATGTCTCTTTCACATTACCTCTTGTTCTTTAATGACACATTTTGCTGAACCAGAGGTAGCATTGTAGAACAGATTTGCTAGTCTTGCGATAGCTGCTGCTAATTGTGAAAATCTTTCTCTGCTTGCAGAGTTCAATACCAGGATTGTTCCAGGGACCTTATTTCAATATTTCTGGGGAAAAGGGACTTCTGGAGCATCACGGATCTAGCCTGTTCCCTGAGGGTCCTACTGACTATGTCTTCAGCCACCTCCCACTACACTCTCAGCAGCAGCTTCGCGCCCCCATCCCAATGATGCCCATTGGCGGCATCCAAATGGTCCACTCGGTACCTGCAGCCCTTTCAGGTTTACACCCTCCGTCCATCTTGTCCCTCCCCAAAGAGGGCTCTGGTGAAAAGAAGAGGGCAGCTTCGGAAACCATCGCTCAAGAATCGTGCATTGTTTTGAAGCACCATGAGAAGCGCACCTGCCCTCACGATCTGCACACCGCGGCTCAAGGCGCCGCATCGCCTTCTCAGCTGCTGCTGCTGCAACAAAGCACTTCGGAAGACGGCGTCGTCGAGAGGGAGCAGGAGGAAAACATACAGACTTGTACAAAAGCCATAGCTTCTCTCCGAATCGCAGCCGAGGAAGGTCTACACGGGACAGAGCAGTCGCAGAGGGATTCTGAGCCTCCGCAGAAACCCTCGGAAAGTGCACATTTTAGCATTAAACACTTTAGTGGCTCCGAGCCAGGTCAGATCTGTGCCTCAGCCACCTCCCCTGACTTGCACAGTGGCGAAAAGGACTTTTTTGGTACATCACAGACTGCGTTATCTCATTCCACCTTTTACAGCAAAAGCAGTGCGGATGTCAGACAGTTAGGCTATCTTAGTAAGCAAGATTCCCCATCAAGCACACCGGAAAGAAGAGAACCACCCTCCGAAAAAAGCAACCCACAGCGATCCGAAAATGTGTGAAGACTTTAATACATGTGTTTACTCCGACCCCCGACTCCCTTCCCCTAGTGATAGAAGGAAGTATTCATCTTTATAGCATGCCGGTTCTAAGTTACAGTAGTTTGCTATTATATATACTTTTGTTATATCAAAAGAATTGAGTAAAACTACGAGTCATCATGAGCCTGACCAAAACGAAATTTCAAAGTTCTTATTGGGTCTGGTACTTTTAACCTGTACAGATGTTTGTGCCTTTTCTTTACTTTTGCTTATATTCTTATAAGCATTTTTTTAGCGGTAATTTGTACATATTTTAGAATTTGTGTATCTGCTTTGTAATAAATGTAATTTCTTTCCTTTTTTGGACACTTTGACCTAAACGATGTAAAGCAAAAAACAAAAAAAGCATCAATATATATGTGAGGTTGCACTAAAATATTTTTATATGATTAAAACTGAACAGCTTTTATGTACAGCTCTGATTCTGTAATACTAATATTTATTTACTTTGTTTCATAAATTGTACATTTTTTCTTAATGTTGCGGATTGCTTTTCTATGTGAAGCATGGGATTTACTGTTGCATTATTAGAACAAAAAAAATGTATATTGTAAACAAGATATTTAAACTAGAGTATCTTATTCTGCACTTATGCATTAGTTTAAAACAAAAATAAGATAAAAGGATGTATCAGTCCATTCTTAACTCTTGTAATTTTTTGTCTCTTGTTTGCTGGATCGACTATAACTTAAAAGTGCTGATTGTGGTTTTAAAAAGATAGTACCGTAAAGCATTAAAGTAAAACCATGTGCTATTGTGAGTTTTTTCAAAGCTTTATAAAACAGTTATAAATATATTAAAAGTATTTGGTCTTATGTGAACATGTTGCTCTATATGCTCCTTTAAAAGAAAATGGGAAAACATTCCACCCCATGTAAATATGTGCGAATTAAAAAAAGCAAAAGGAAAAAAAAGCGGTGCAATTTCATGTAGATTGTTTGGACACTTAGAGACCTCACCCTGCTCCAAGTGAAGTCAGCAGAAGTTGTGAATTTGACTTGAACAGAAGCAGGATCAGGTGATAGGGCACCACATATCTTTATTAAAGTGTCTTTAAAAAAGAAAAGAAGAAGAAGAATGGAACTCTGGCTCCCTTGGCTTTGACTATAGCGGAATCAGGCTTCCAGCTCAGGTGAGAAAGCATGTTTGACTGTATAGATCTCTGTTATCGGCGGGGCCGGTAGTTGTGGTTGTCAGTGCTGGGCACTGCATGCAGCAGGTAGAGCCATGGAAATGACCTGGGGAGCCTCCATACTAGTTGATAGCCAAGGAGCCTAGTCATATTGCCAAGTAATCTCACTCGTATGTGGGGACTTTAGGGTGGGTTAGGGGAGGGAATATTAGACGAAGGCTTTACAGCCATTTCTGGACAACCAAGACAACCGGTAGGCATTTTCTCACCAGAATAAAAATTACCATCCCCATCTCCATACGTCTTATCTAAGGGAAAAGGTCAGCGGAGAAAATGAATTCTCTCCTTTGAGATTTAGGGCATTTATAGCATGCAGTGGTTTCAGGAGGAGACGGGAAAGAACCATTGCTTATTTGTTTGGAAGGCATGATGGAGGCCGCTCCCTTCACCCTGCCCCTCCCCAATATCCATGCATACACCCAAGTCAAGAAAATTCTGGGGTCTTTTCTGTGCTATTTAGTGGATTATAATTCTGTGAAAAAAGTTTGTATATTGAATTGCAATACATTTAAGGAGTGTTCTTTAAAAAAAAGAAATAAATATACAGTTACATTACATACCTAGCGTCTAGTTTTCATGTGTTTTAATTTTTTTTCCCCAGGCTAGCAATGTCGCTCTTTTAGGCTGCAATCCTATGCCTTCTATATGTATGAATAAGCCCCATAGAAATGAGTCTACTTCCAAATAAAGACTTATAGGATTGGACGGCATGTTGCATAATGTGACATTTTGTTGGGCATGAGCACGCATGTAACTGGCCTGGTTTTGCATGAAATAACAGTAAAAGCCGTTGACGCTTTGGCTGACTTGCCTATTGCTACATTTCTGCCAAATCCATTGCACACTTCTGAATAAGGAAAAAATCATCATAAATCATCATCTGAGCACTGCCCATACTCAAACGTTTAAACCTCTTGACCTGAGTATCTTCCAAAGAGATGAGTCTACAACAGCTTGTTGTCTGTAAACAACCTGACAAATCTGTAATTATTAATCTGCACATATTTCAGGGTTACAACCCAGCAATGAGTTAAATAAGCAATGCACTTACCTCTATATTCCATTGTAGGGGGGGCGGGAATTAGCAGTGCTAAGTCTCTGCAGATACCGTGTTCTATGGTAGTAAAAGACGACCTACCTCTCTTTGGCTAAATCAGCTTTTAACAAGAGACACAGGGTGTCATTGTTACCCTAGGCTCATTTTCTTTTAATTTGTTGCTAAAATGTCAATGAAATGTGGATATCTTTGGTTAAATTAAGGCACAGGAATGTGGTATTCTTCCTAATTGTGTTTGCTATGTGTTTGAGCTGATTGCTGTGAACTGCCCTGAGATCTACGGGTGAAGGACTGTATACAAATTTAATAAATAATAATAATAATTCCAACATAGTTCCAGCTCCCCGCTCATTTTTGCACAGTAATATATAGAACATGTTCCTGGACTTACATATACATGAAAAGGCTAATTTGGATTGGTTTATCCATATCACTTTTCAGGGACAACCCCTTTAGCATGACCCAATAGTTATCTGGGATCATTCCTAGAAATGGTGGGTGACATAATCTTTGTATTTCTCTCTCACCCCAGGCTTCATTATATGGTAGCAGTTTGAACTCATTTATGTAGAGTTGAATATTCCAGAAGAGCTTGTTTTCAAGTAAGAGTATCCAGAACCTGGGGAAAGGAATGTAGCTCAGTATTGGACCACATGTTTTGCATGCAAAAGATGCCACATACAATTCTGGATATCTCCAGTTACTCCAGTCTGAGAAAGAATCCTGTCTGAAATTTTCCGGAGCTGCTACCAGTTGATGAACACAAGGCTAAACATGGACCAGTGGTCTGGCTCAGTAAGGCAGCCTTCTGTATAAGCAGCAGCTTTGCATCTTGCAAACGCCAGTTTGCATATTGTACTGTCAAACTGAATTCTTCCCTGTCTTTCAGACAAGTCCTAGAACAGGGCCATCCATTTCCAAGGGATTTGAGATCTGCGCATAAAAATGTAAACTGGAGCTGTGGGAGAGAGGAAATAGGGGCCCAATTCAGACATCCCAGCAAGCTATCCATCTCTATGCAGATACTTTTAAGTGTTCGCCTTTAGTATCCATCATTGAACTAGAAATAAAACATGAATGAAAAGGATGATCCAATTCTGTAACACAAAAAAATAAGGCTTATGCTTTTTAAAGTAAATATGTGTAAAAAGTTTCAGTGAAAAGTTTTCCTGCTTGCCTTAGTGCATCATGTCTATAGGGGAGGTATGATCCTGATTTCCTGCTATTGTGTTTTCGCAAAGTGGTTCATAAATAAAATACCTATTCAGGCTTCCAAACGCTCATGAAGGAAAGATAGGCCTACACGTTTTTTCTGCATTCCCAGAGAAACATCTGGTGCAGTCTTTATGATATCATCCATCCAGCATCTCACTAAGTGAAAATATCTGTAGAATAAGCTGTTATGCTGTGTCCAGATAAAATATACCTGAATACGTACCCTAAGCAAGTGGATTACACTTCTAAACACACTCTTGTTTTTCTAGTACTGTCCTGAAGGGTTCAATTAAGTTTTCACAAGTGGAGGGTTGCAGAAACATTGTCCCAAATCTCTTCCAAACTGAAGATCTGCATACGAAATTCTAACGCAGCACAAATATCTCTGTGCATTTCTCTCATTGCTGTCTCTTTTTGTTTTGTTTTTTGTTTTTATTTATATGCATCAAATTTTTAACAACAGTACAAATAAAATGGTGGGAGCACTGCAGATGGTCAGAAACAGACATCTGGCCAGGACTCAACAAAAAGGCCAAGAAAATCGCATTGTATGTCCTGGAATTTCTCATTTTTCTGCTGAACATAATTTCCATTTACCATAAGTCCTGCTGTATCTACCAAACTCTTCTTGTTCAAGCTTCCAGACTCTTGCCGTTTGCAATCCTTTACTCAATCTCCAGGGTCCCTTTACTTTGCATTCATAGAACAGCTCTTTCTGCCACCCTCACTTAACTCCAGACTCTGCTGCTGCCTGTTTGCAGAGGTTTCCTTTAATCCCAGAGGCTGGCATGGAGCAGGTGTGATGGGGCAGGTATGTATGGTTATGTGCAGATCCCTTCATTTCTAGTCACAACTAACAGGACATGCAACTAACAAGACCTGTGGTGATCTCAACTTGGAAAGAGTAACCTGGTAAATTCCAACAACTGGATCAATAATTGCCAAGGAGAATTTATGACCCGGAGTAATTCACAGAGAGGTGGGAGAAGGAGATTTTCCATCCCTCCATTTTCCACCACCCACAAGTGTCCCACACATTCCTGTGGAAGATGTTTCAATGCCTCTTGCTCAAACTAGGAAAACATCTCTCAGAAAACACCCATCAGCAGAAGTCTTGTTTATTTTAGTACATTCTCAACGCACCTTTTCATTTAGGAAAAGTCCTAAGCAGCTAAAAATAAAAGTAATAGTTAAATAGGATTCAAGTGACTAAGAGATAAAATAAAATTCAGAACCTAAGAAGAGTCTGCTGGTTAAGGCCAGCGGTCCATCTAGTTCAGCATCCTGTTCTCACAGTGGCCGACTAGATGCCTGTGAGAAACCCACAGTCAGGATTCGAGCACAAGAGCGCTCTCCCCTCCTGTGGTTTCCAGCAACTGGGTGTTCAGAGGCATTACTGCCTCCAGCAGTGAAGGCAGAACATAAGCATCAGGATTAGAAGCCACCAGTAGCCTACTCCTCCGTGAATTTGACTAATCATCTTTTAAAGCCATCCAA